CTTATAGGAGGAGACTGAACACAGCTACTTCTGTACTTCCTACAATTTAATGTCATGTCTTAGAATCTACGAGATACAGTATGTATTAGCAAAGAAGGCCTCTTTGGGGACTGCTCTTATCACATCAGATACTTGGGAGTGGGGAGATGAAGTTGGAAATATTGGACCCATGACCCCTATTCCTCCAGACCCCATTGGTCACCATGCCAGAGCACACCCTCGATCCAGGACAGGGAAGAGCAACTGAAGTGTACCCAGACAGAAGCTTCCTGTGCCAACAAAAACCTTGTCCACTAGTTTAGAATGAGAAAAAGATCAAATTAGAGCACTTACTTAAAAGTTAATGATAAAATGCATTTTAAAAGTTAATGATAAAAATGTAAATATGGCAACAAATCATCCCCACGCAATCTGTATTGTTAAGTAATTTATTTCAATAGAAATATTTCAGAAAACTGTACTTAAATTCATTTTGTTAGCTTATGCAAACACACTGAAGATCTCACACTCACATTTGCATATTAAACAGAAACAATAAGTGAGAGAGGAACCAAGCTGCACATCACTCAGGGAGGTCATAGTGCAATTGAGTGCTTCATCATTAGAGTACCTCAAGTTAATTGGGATAAAGAAGAAGAAAAATGGCTTGTGTTTTCCTGTATATTATCATTGGATATTCACCCCCACAGATGTTTATTTCCTTTAGATTACATTGTGAACGAGTTCCCCACCCCCTCCCACACATACACACTTCAGTGGGCTGTAAAACAGTAAATTTGTCAGTAATTAAGATATAGAAACTCTTGAGAGTCTGGTGACTTATAATAAATCAGCTACGGTGTCAGACCTGATAAGTCAATAATTACTGGACTATATTTGTGAATAGTCCTAATAGGTGATGTTATCTTTTAGGGGAAACTTAATACTTGTTACCTGGTATCTAAAAAGCACAGGTAATATTTATGAAATTTTCAGCTGGTCTATTAAAAAAAAAAGTTCAATCCTTTCAAAGCACTCTATGCATTCCATTCCTTTAATTCCATCACCACTTTGCAGGCCAAATGACTAGAAGCAGTATTTAAAATCTGCTAATAACCCTCAAGGATCAATCAACCCTTCATTTGGCTTTAAAGACTATGTCTACTTCCCTATTCTGGAACATACCGGCCCTTAAAAAATACGAAAATAGCATCTTGACTCAGTTAAACAGTAGTTTCAGATCTTGCAAGGGTCTCAGAGAAGCAAAATGTTTCCAAGTTTTGTTTTGACTAAGAAAGCTAGTGTAGTCTCTTAGCTTCCCTTAAAATTTATATATTGGAGTTGTTTTCACTTTCCTTCCATAATATTTCCAAGGAAACAATATCTGGTAGGTTAAGTGTCTGTTTGTTCGGAGTCTTACTTAAATATAAGAATGAACCAATCTAAATCTCATTTTTGGTCAAGTCTCATTACAAGATTTCAGCAGCTTTAATAAGACCCCAACAAATCTTTCTGGCTGTAATGTATTCTTTTAGGGATTTTCTGAAAGGTCTTATAATTAAATCGATGCTCAAAACAACATCAACAACACAACATAAAAACAAACTCAGCTGGATGGACGCTCTTCAAAGCTGTTCTTAAAAATGCTCATCTAAAGGTTGATTTGGGTGGGTTTATTTTTAATCTCCTACCCTGGCCCGGGAGAGGAGCAGGGAGGGAGTTTGTTTGAAAAGACTCATGACCTGGGAGGGCTGTAACAATGACCTGGAGGCTCTCTGTACAGACTCTCTGCTCTCTTACACTTGCTGGGACAAAGAGTAAGAAAGAGTAAGCTGGTGGAGAGAGGGGTAGCACACACTCCTGACGTAAGAGGAGTAAGAGGGCAAATGATTATCGTCATACTCGATGCCCTAAAATTGGTCTTCAAATTGTTAAGGCACTGACCAAATTTTCCCCACACTACAACTTCAGATACTGGTGTAATAAAATTGCTTTAATAACTGTAAGAGTTTGCATGCACAGATCTTTCATCACAATCCTCTAAATGGAAAAAAAAAGTCACTTCAGTTACAAGCCATTTTTAGGGGAGCAAGACCAAAAAGGACTTACTTAGATCATTTTGAAAAGGTTGACTTCACGTGAAAATAATGCTCATCAATGTTTTTAAATAACAGTGTATCTCAAAGCTTAGAAAAAAACAGAATACCACTCTGGCTGTAAAATCATAAATTTACTATGTTTGAAAAAAGTAGTACAAAAGGAGAGAGAAAATGAAAGCAAGCCCTAGAAGATCACCGAAAAGGCCAGGCAAACCTCATCACAGGCTCTGTACTGTCTGCTTGTGCAACAACAGCACCACGGTTCCAGTGGGGTCCCGGGCAAGCCCATCTTCACTTTCAAAAAGGGATCTAAGGATTTCAAAAGCCTCCGAAGCAGAGGATTTCTTTTATTAAAGATTATCTCTTGGAAGCAACACTGCTCCCACTTGTTGGCAGAAGAAGGTTGTATGGTGGTTTAAAGACTGGGTGGAAAGGAATGTGCCTCAGAAAACAAGAAAGAAATCAATAGTGGATGTATTCTTTTAAAAAGTTACTATTATTATGGATTTCCAATGAATGCCTTATAGTTTTGTTTTCAGTTGGAAAGGTGTATAGCTTACGGGTTTAAGCTCAGAAGACTTCTGAGCTCATGTGGCCAGGTATATTCTAGTAATCCCAGGGCCCCCAGGTTCAGCTAACCCGTGGAGTACGTACACCACAGACTGGGACCATCTGCCCCTCTGTAACCGCAGTGCTCCTTGGGCTCTTCTGAAAGGCATTTCTAGAAGAGGAATAAAGCCACTTATAAAAACCTGGGAGCGATGAATCCCCTAACTCTTGACATATGCCATTTTCTACACAGAAAAACAAATTGTCCTTGAAGCACATACCCAGGGAGAAAAAAAAAATAATCAAATTGTTTGGATCCCTTTTTGTAATGTTTATACAAATAGTATTTACATAGTGAAGAAAACGCTATAGAAAGGTGTGTTTGATCAGTTCTCTTTCAATTCTTATAGTCTGGAGATTACAGTAAAAATAATACCTTTGAAAAAAATAAAGCAAAGGCCAAACACAGAGGGGGCATGAAACCAAAACTAGTGCTCTGAAAGTCATTATTATGCAGTTCTTTTTATAGGTGTATTTTAAAAACTGATGTTACTTCTGTATGAAAAATAAGTGTCCAGGTTCAAATAAACTGTGAAATAAATGAGATGTGTCTCAAACCGTATTTTGGCTAGTATTATATACTACTACACCAGGCCGTATAATATGCCAATATTTATGCTTTTAAATTTAAATTATAATGGAGTTTCTAATGAGTTGTTCTTGGCTAGGAGAGAAACAAATGAGCTTAATATTGATAGAAATTTCAAGCTTTTGTCAACTAATTTACTAATTTATTAAGCATAAGCTTAATAAGAGGAAAAAATTTCATCTTCCTACTAATAAAACTACCTAAATATTTAATATATTTTGGTGACTTATTTTCTTTGCTTGAATTATTACATCATTTGGTGAATTATAGATCAAATATTCACCTATGCTATTTCAATTCACTTCTCTCACTGGTTTCCATTTGTTTCAAATGCTAAAATAATCTTCAAAAGCAACGTCTAATCTTTTGAATAGACAGATTTGAAGACAGAACAATGTCTACTTCTACTGCACAGTTGTGTTAAGAGTTTCGCTCAGTCAGAGGCCACAATTCTATATAGGGACTATTCACCAAATTTGAACACTATTCTTTCCCTGCGCGTGTATCCCGTAATGTTAGAGCTGAAATATCAAACACATCTTCCAGTTTAGCTCTCTCTTTGGCAAAACTGTGATGTCAGGCTCTGACTTCCAGTTGCAAATCTCCTCAAATATGGTTAAACTACAGTGTATCTACTTTAGCTTATTTATGACAAACAAAACAATAATAAAAAATCCACAGGGTTCTCATCCACAGAATTTTTTAAAAAGCACATACACTGTTAAAAACACTTATTTTTGAAGAAAAATACACAAATTAAGGAATTTTAAAAAAATGTAAAACAAAAAGATGTGCAAAGTCTATATAGTAATACTGCTGGCGATGCAGGTGGTGTCTTTCTATGTACCCAACGTGGGTTAAGCTTGGGAGATCATTAATTGAAAAATCACTCAGCACAGGCAACATTTTGCCCTCTCTAGCCCATGTCACTTTCCACAATACCAGAAATAATGGTATTTCTAACTGTGCTATATGAGAAAAATATCTGAACTCTTAACATCGTTTCCAAAAGCTCTTCTACTTTCCTTTGGATAGACTTTTAGCTAATGATTCTGTGAGTAATATTTTCTATTTAAGTTTCACGGCTTCAAGATGATTAAAAAAAAAAAGTATGAAATTCTCTAAGAATGCAAATGTAAGAAATTTTATGTGAGGCCCAAAGTATTACAAGTTTATTGGAAGACATCAGTCAAAAAGGGGTTCTTCCTCTGGGCCACTGCTAAAATATGAGTTTCTTAACATCTAACACACAGCCTTTGTTCAAGTGCCATTTTTTATTAAAACTCTAAGGCAGCTCACCTTTAAACCTTTTTTTTTTTCTTTTTGCAATTCAACATTTATTCTGGAAATTAAACACACTGTTGCATGGAAGAGCTCTTCCAAAACAGCTTGGTCTACCACTGACAAGAGTATGGTTTCATGGCCGGGACCTACAGTACGTTTTCAGAAAAGTGTTTTGTAATAAAGGAAAGTTATATAAGAAGGGAAGTTTTGACACTTAAGATTCCCAGAATCTCAATCTTTCACCTTTTTCCCTTTTAAAGTTATTTTGTGTGCCTTATAATACATACACACATACATATGCGGAAGCTCTTTTAAACACATGTAATCCTGAATCTCATACTTAACAAAAATAATGAAAATGAGTAATAAAAAAAATAACTGGCATTGTGTACATGAAACACTGTAAGAGAAAATATCCTGATGAAATATCAGTATATCATCTTGACGACAAAAGTCACCAGTGACTGGTAGAAGGGATAATTCAATTCACTCGAAAAAAAAATGTAATTACTGTAAAATCTCAGAAAAGTTTAGGTTGGGATTACGGTTCTTTCCTAAGCAGATCTGTGGTCCAACAATGAATTCATATAGAGGGCTAAATTTTAAACCCAGTTAAAAACAACCATGCTTTCTGGAGCCCAGTTGAAAAGAGTGTCTGGAATAGGAGCGCTCAGCCTTCATGCCTCCTGCAGGAAATGACGCTCCCCACCCAGAACTCAATTTCCGAAGTTTAGTGTTTAAGAAAAATCTCCCCTCATTCAAAACCCCCGCCCCCAATCCCAAACGAACCCCAACAACTCACATTATGAACATGTCTAATCCCGAAACTCTTGCCGTGGGAGAGCCGGGGAGGCTACAGATGACCGGGAGCTGAGAAGCCCCCCGGGGCAGGCGGAGCATCTTCACACCTCCTTACTAAACCAGCCCCTCATATAACTCATAAGAAAGATGTTTTCCTTTTTAAAGTGTGTCTAAAAAAAGGAGATTCCCCCCTCCAAAATTAGTACAAAGTTAAAAGAAACGCAAATGGGCTCCGATCTATTCCAAGCACAGCACCGCCAGAAGACGCACACACACTATTTGGTGCTTCATGTTGGTTTTCCTTTCGTTCGTTTAAGGCAGTGGTTTCCGCAGGTCAGTTCAGAGAAAAGCAGCGCGGTCCATGGCAGTTTGTTTAGTGACTCCAATGTGTTCTCTGGGAATATCTCACTTCATTCCCTGAAATTAGTGCTTTTTTGGTTCAGAACTCCAAAGGCTTGAGACGCAGCCTCTGGGCTCCTTGTGGCCCAGAACTGGCTCATAGCTGGCGCTCGCGTCACCTCCTCACTCTTAGGGGTGACAGTTCACCTTGCTTCTTTCTTAGGCTTCTACTCAAAAGTCATCAAGTTTGTAGGAACCTTAAAAATATAAGCAGTACAAAACTGATAGTATTTAAAAGTTGCTTTTCAAAGTACTATTTCTTATCTTTCTTCGTCATTTTAAGCCCAGATATCTTTTTAAAAAAGTAATTTGACAGAAGGTACTGCAATCATTTATGAATAATGAATAAAATATGCTAGAACATTTTTGAGAACAATCACTGAGTTAATACTCTCTTTCCAGAAAACTGAAATTGGAATGGGAGAAAGGGTGGAGACGGTATCTTTCTGATCTAACACAGGGTGCTCAGCAGATGTCTGCTGAGTGAGCAAATGAACAAGAAAAGAAGTGTGGCTCTAGTTAGGGTGACCCTCTGACAAACATACTTATTGTCTATTTTCTCAGTATCTGTATTACCAGGAATTCCCACATGCACATTTTTAAATCCAGCATGGGTAATTTTATAATGAACATTACTAAGAATTTCTTTGTGAAATCATCATGGAAGTATGAAAGAATAAAACTCATTGTTAGATAAATTCTGATCTGACACTTGGTGACTGAAAAAAATCAACATGTTATATAATAGTTTGAGGCGTATAGACTGGTTCAAGTTTAATTTGATTCCTTATAGAAATCAACAATAAGACATGAAGTCCACATTGTAGTGAGGAGAAATTCCACAACAATTCTTTGAAATAGAAGTATATTTTGTTTTTGAAAATCAGCTGATGAGTCCTCTAGACAAGGACTAAAGAGGGTTTCACCATGTTAAAAAAAAAAAAACTCTTAACCCTTATTATCTGTTTTCTGAAGTTGTGCTGGGAGAGATATTCTCACTTCAGTGGTCATTTCTCTGTCCTTTAAAACAGCAGCTACCACTTTAGCAATCTTTTTCTGAAAACCTAGAATATTCAAGAAAAAGGGGGGAGTCTCTAACACATGTCACCTTCTGAATGAAAAAATCTTTAATAATACAATCATAACTGAATCATAAATCAAATGCAATACAAATGCTCAAGTGCTTAAATTATAAATTCTCAGGTCTGGTTATAAGAAAACCATGTTTAAATAAAGTATAAGTTCATTTCTTCCTAAGTTCCTTGAATATGATTTAAGGTATTGTACTTGAGTGAATCAGAGGCTTCTACCAAAAATTTTCACATTTCACAGCTTCTATTTATATATTTGCTACTATTCTGATTCTCCCAAGTATGGAGAGAAACAAACAAATAAAACCCACTTATACACATTTGGTTGACTTGTTCACCTTTACGTTGGTATGTATACACTGTCTAGATTAATCTTGAAACCTGAGATTAAAAAAAAAAATGAGACTTAACACTTTAAGCACACTTAAACAATGTAAGTTGAGTTGCACATAAGCTTAGTCTATTCACTCTGTCCCAGGCCCTAAGAAAGTAGTCTTTGTTCTATGGCGTTTCATGCCCTTAATGGAGGGTGCTAAAAATGATACCAAATACTGCTATTAGTCTTTCATATATATATTTGAAATAAAAATTCTAAGAGAACAAAGCCTATTCTAACAATATTTAAAAAGAATGGACCTAAAGATAAAGACATTTGCTTGTTTGACCCTGTGTAGGTCATTTAGCATTTCTGAGACCAGTTTCTTCCTTTATCAAAAAAGGGGTAAGACTCTGGTCCTGACAGCACAGGGTGAAAAATACTTTTAATAAGTGATATAAACTCATATGGTGTATTATATTATTCACAGTTAGCTACGGATTAACACTTAACCGTACACTTCTGAATTTCAGTACCTGAAATCAATGGTCTTCAAATATATTCCACTAAAAACTGCCTACAAAAAGTCTACACATATTTCCATAACTGCAGTTATGTTTATTGTACATCTGTTCTTCCAATCCATGGCTCAACTTTAGATCTGCAACAGGGTTTGGGGAAAACAACACCATGGCTTCATTTCTCCTCTGCAGCTGAAAGCCTTTGAATTAGACCATCTTTGTTTCGGTGAAATAAAAACAAACAGATCCAAATGGCTTTGGGTTTTGCTGCAACCACAAGAACCTACTCAGGTTATTAACAGAATAAAGATGAATCAGAATAATTTTTATTAAAGTGCCATCTAAGTTTTACGCTGCTGGGACTCTCTTTCTTTGCCTCTATTTTCTACCGACATGGGTAACATTTGCCTCTTTAGAACACCTTAAGCTCCTTCTAGCTTCAGGACCTTTGAACTTGCTGTGCCCTCCAGCAGACCTTAATCTTCACATGGCTGTTCCTTCTTGTCACTCATGTCAATGTCTTTGGGGAGATCTCTGCTGCCCACTCTTACTTATTTAAAGTTGTGTCTACTCTCATCACTCTGTATCACATAATTCTGTTTTCCATATATATATGTATGTATATATAGTTCTGTATATAGTTTTCAGCATTTGAAATTTTATTTGTTCATTATTTTACTGACTATCTCCTCACTAAAATGTGGACTTCATACTTGCCGACCACTGTAAGAAAAAGAATAAAAAGAGTATCATTTTCCTTCTTCATTCATAAAATTAGTCTGTTTACTTCCCTTGGAACTCTTTTAAATACAGTCCCAAGCAACGGACCATCTTGAGGACCGAGAAACACTGCTCACCTGCTGCTTGTTGCTTTGGCAAGCTGCGCTCAAATGCTTGAACCACAGCATCGCGTTCATTCTGTTGCCAGCTTGAAACTTGTATGAGTTTCCTAAAGTTATTAAAAACAAGGGGAAAATGATAAAATTTTAAGGACTCTGACATATAATAATTCAGTCATATATCAAAGAGCAAAATGAAACAAGACTAGAATTCTCAGTTTCAGAATTCTCTGTCTCTAGCACCTGATTTTCTAATACAAATAAAAAGTTCTCTATGCTATGTTCACATGCTATCATTTATTCAGAAAGTCACTGTTTTGCTGCTTATGAATTGGAAGAGAAGTATTCTTGTCTTCTTAAATATTCCTTAGAGCAAAGTATACCTAAATAAAAGAATCGTTTGGCTCCTCTAGATTTGTATGTGGGACTGAGAGCACAGAATATGTTAGTATTAAAGTTTTTACAGGCAAAATGCTTTAACACGTTTAACATTTAAACATTAGGTATGTAATATGATTAAGGATCAATATCAACCATGCTTTTAGGTGTTAGTTACGTTTGCTGAAATTATCATGGATTTCTGGGAAAATCTGAAGAGTCACTGATTCCTCTTTTAGAAAATTAGAAATTCATCCATGTTGTGTGTATTTAAGAACTTATGCTGACTAATTCAAGACTGACACATAATAGATAAATCTTACATGGTTGTATGTATTAAGGTGATAAACTGAAAAAAGAAAGGATTCATGTACTGAAGGCTGCCCTAAGTTGAGCTTTATCCCTTTCTTCATTGACCTAAGTTTTTATTTCCCAATTTGTATCGAATTCTACTCTCTCCTTTATAACTGCATTCAACGGCCCAAGAGTCTGACCTTTCTCTAGGCATGACAGAGCTTTCCTTTGAGACTGGAACACTCAGAGAACTTTTTTACTTTCAGAAGCAACAGTTTCTTCACCAATGTTTCATGTTAAATAATACTGTTTTACTTGCTGAACTCAGATGTGGACATTAAAGCAATCTGAATCGAAGGCATATCTACAATTAAGCTGGCCATAGCTGCCATTTATCTACTTTCTCCTCCCCCTCCAAAAGACTATTAGTACAAATGTTACAAAAACCTTGGTTACTTGGAAAGAATCCCATCAAGCTACACTAGGGAAACTGAAAGAAAATAAAGAATTTGTTAACTAAGCCCAATGAAAATGATCCCCTTAAGATGTAATTTTATGAATAATGCCTTTGGGATTTGGGGTTGGGGCAGGGACTCTGAATTCAGAATGCTGAGCAGGGAGTTCTAACTCTGTCAGTCTAGTTCATCTCAAAATGAGACATTTTCCTACTATTATTTTTTTTCCATATCCAATATATTGTTTTCACTTGAAATGCTATAATATCCTAAAAGCAGAATATCTGTTGCTATAAAATACATTCTGAGTAGAGGTGAAAATATAACTGTACAGTCAATAAACAGAATTTCGGTGGTGAGTTGCTGCAGTGGAAGATTCTGGGCAGAGAGGAAAGAATTTCCCGTCTGGCTCCCTCTGAGGTGCTTATCAACAGCTAGCAGCTGTATGCAGGAAGAGCAGCAATCACGTCAGGCTGCGTTCCGACGGCCACCTGCGGCCTCCACTAGAGATGCACAGGGTCTGATTCCACACGGCCCACCCTCCAACTTCTCTGATCCACTTGAAAAACTCCGCTGGTCAAGAGTCAATCATTTCCTTCATAAGTCTCTCTCAATATTGTAAGCAAAGTATTCATTATTAATTATACTTATTTGGAAAGCGATAGGAGTTAAATAACGTATTAACCTCATTAAAAATAATGGACTAAAAATCATTTAGAGGAAAACCTCTGCCACATTCAGAACTTAAGAATAACAATTTATTTGAGAGTACAAATGAAGGGGTATTACATATATAGCAAATGTCTGAGGCTTTAAAGTACTGATTCTCCAGTTCCCTCCTTCCCTCCCTCTCTGCGTGGTTCTTAGCTCCTTAAGGATTACTTGGGCTTTTAATTTCAAGCTTATGCCCATGCAGCAAAGAAAATATGCTTATAACAGATATTGATACCAGAAATATTGATATCATTACTCTACATTATGAGACAGAGTTATTTCCCAAGAGACAAAACTACAAAAACATGTTCCTGGTCAAGTATTCTAGTTAAACTATGTTTGGACCAACTGAACGTTATGTACTCGCAGTACCTTAAACCCTAGATATTCTAATGATTCACCTTTCTCAGAGTCAGTCAGCAAGAAGAGATCTGGGTGTTCTGGGTCATCAGCCATCATCACCATCCATCCTACCACAGATACGTTCTTATTTGATGTTGATTTGAACTGAGAGATAAAAAGATCATTAATGGAAACACAAAATTTATGGCTCATCCTAAGCAAAAATTAAGGATAAGCATATTTTCAGTTTCTGCCGTGAGAGTAAGATTTGTGACTTCATGTTGGTTGAGTCTGCTCCCAGCCTTTTACTTACTACTAAATTCCATTTAGGCATGCCTTCTTTAGACAGTCTCCTACTCTTCAGATCCTTCCTAGCTTCAACTCTTCATCAAAACCTGTCCAAGTCTTGATTCTCAAAAAAGCATGATCTGTCGTTGGATCTGATAAATTCATCTCTGTGGTTTTTTTCTGTTCCTTACTATGCTGCCCCGAACCCCTCCCTTATTAGGAAACACACCTATATTTTGTTATCTTTTTTTACCCAGCTTTATTGAGATATAATTAACATAACACAGCATAACTTTAAAGTATACAATGTAATAGGGGTATTACCTGAAACCTGATGATTTACTAAACCAGCAGTGGTATCAATTTTTTTTTTTTTAAGTAGGCTCCATGCCCAGCATGGAGCCCAACATGGGGCTTGAATTCATGACCCTGAGATCATGACTGAGCTGAGATCAAGAGCTGGATGCTCAACCGACTGAGTCACCCTGGTGACCCAGACAATTCTTAATAATATGTTTTTACTTGTATTTCTCAAAAAAAGGTATTCTTAGTATTCTTGTTACTTTTCTATTTTTTTTTAAGTTAAACTAGAAATAAATGTAATGAAAAAAGGGCTATTAGAAAAGAACAGAAAATTAGGTTAATCTCATTCATGACCATAAATAGAGAAATATTAAATAAAATACTGGTGTATAAAAAAGCTGATGGGGTGTCTGGGTAGTGCAGTTGGTCGAGTGTCTGACTCTTGGTTTCTCCTCAGGTCAGATCTCACGGTCATGAGACAGAGCCCCATGGGCTCCACGCTCAGCATGGAGTCTGCCCGAGATTCTCTCTCTCCCTCTGCCCCTCCTGCTCATGCTCTCTCGCTCTCTAAAATAAATAAATCTTAAAAAAAAAAAAAAGCTGATATATGATGACCAATTCGGATTCATCCGAGGAATGTGAGGTTGGTTTAAGGTTAGAAATCAACCAATGCAACTAAGTTGGGTTTATTTCAAGAAAGCAAGATTAGTTCAGTCACGTTCAAAAATTATTTTTTTAACTTTAGAAAAATTATTAAACTAAATCACTAAATCTTTTTTCTTAAGAAAGAAAAAAATACATTCAACTCAGTTTACCCAACAAGCTTTTGCTAAAATATAATGTATATTTGTGACAGACTAGGAATAGAAGGGAACTTCCTAATTCAGTAAAGAGTAACCACCAAGCAAACAAACTACACAACAAACAACAAACAAAATCTACACAAAAACCAAACCAAAATAACGCAGGAAAGACGACCCCCCCCAAAAAAAAAGACAACCCAAAATCAAAACCCTGCCACACATACTCAAGGGTAAAATGCTAAAAACATTTCAAAATCAGTATCAAGACAAGGATGCCAATCATTGCTACCTCCATTCAACACAGAATTTGAAGAGCTGGTCAGCTTAATAGGATAACAAAAAGAAGTAAAAGGTGTAAGAGTAAGGAAGAAATAAAACTGCCATTACTCCTGGATGATATCGACAAAGAAAATCCACTCACATCTATCAAATTAATAAGAATGATGAGCAAAGACACTTGGAAAAGATCAGTATGAAAATCAACTGTAATTCTATACATGAGAAATATAAAAGTCATTTATAAGAGGGGTATCTAGCAATACATGCAACAAAAGATACATAGAAGTAGAACTGATAAAAGGCATCCAAGAAGACATAAAACAATTAAGAAATACCATGAGATGGGGGCGCCTGGGTGGCTCAGTTGGTTAAGCGACTGCCTTCGGCTCAGGTCATGATCCTGGAGTCCCGGGATCGAGTCCCGCATCGGGCTCCCTGCTGCTCAGCGGGGAGTCTGCTTCTCCCTCTGACCCTCCCCCCTCTCATGTGCTCTCTCTCTCTCATTCTCGCTCTCTCAAATAATATACAAAAATAAATAAAAAATAAAAATCTTTAAAAAAAAATACCATGAGATGAAGAAGAAGGTTTGATTTGTAAAGATGTCAATTCTCCCTAAATTGATTTATATAAACTCAGTGTCATTTCAATAAAAATTTCAGTAGGATTTTACAGAACTTGAGAAGCTGATTCTAAAATTTATACACGAGAGTAAAGGAGCAGAAATAGCCAATACACTCCTGAGAACAGTGAGTCAGGGCCTGCCCTGACACACATCAAGACTCAGAGCTACAGTAATTGAGACCATGGGCTACAGGACAGGGACAAACAGGGTAATGGAAGTCAAGAGAGCCATCTGGGTGTAGAGATGCAAATTCGTATGACAAGAGTGGACTCTGCAGCCTGATGAACGAAGAATGAACTGTTCAATAAATGATGCCAGGAAAATTGGTTATCCCACAGAAAAATCAAGAAAACAAATGCCTGACCTTTCTCTCTGCATTTACACCAAAGACTTTTTTGAGGCTGTTGGTTTTCATACACAGCTGACCCTTGAACACCACGGGTTTGAACTATGCAGGTCTACTTAAAATGCAGATTTTTTTGGATAAATACATTGTGTTTTTTTCTTATGATTTTCTTAACACTTTTTCTAGCTTACTTTATTGTAATAATACATCATACAATACATGTACAAAATGTGTCAACCAACTGTTTATGTTATTGGTAAAGCTTCTGATCCGTAGTAGGCTACTGGTAGTTTTTGAAGAGCTGAAAGTTATATACAGATTTTCAACTGCACAGGTGTGGGAGGGAGGTGGGGTAGGTACCTCTAACCTAGTTGTTCAAGGGTTCACTGTACTAATGGGGGCATATTTGTACTCTTATTTATAGTTTTCACTTATCAGTACTTCCTTATTGGTTAAGTATTTTGAGTCTTTATAGATTTCTATTATAAACACTACAGGAATATTCTTCTACAGGAATTTTTGTGCACTTGTTCAAGGACTTCCACAGGACAGATTCTCAGATAAGGAATTGCTGGTTATTATTAAGTTAAATACGGACTAGGACTGCCCACCACAAAAACAATACCAATTTAAATTTCTGCAAACCACAGATAAGTCTATGTTTCCCTACACCACGGACAATGCTCTGTTAACAATCTTCAAAATTTTTGCCTAGTAGCAAAAAAGGGCATCTTCTTTAACCTGCATTTTTGATACCTAATAAGGTTGATCATCCGTTCATGTTTATTAGCCAATTATATTTCATCTTCTATTTATCTCCTCCTTCCCTTTTTCTAATGTCCTGTTTTATTCTGAGCTGTGGAAAGTTGTTAGTTTTGTTACAGATTTCTTTTCAGGCACAGTCTTGGTCTTTAAAAATTTAACTAATTGAATAGTATTTATTCACTCTCTACCATACAGTGATGGGTTCAAACATACCTGCAAAATTTTTTTTTACAATAAATAAACTTCCAATAAAAAACATTTTTACAGTGAATGTTTTCATTTTAAAACATCCAAAAAGGGGCTCCTGGGTGGCTCAGTCGGTTAAGTGTCTGCCTTTGGCTCAGGTCAGGATTGAGCCCCGGGTCTGGCTCCCTGCTCAGCGGGGAGTCTGCTTCTCCCTCTCCTGCTGCCCCTCCCCCACCTTTACCCCGCTTGTGTTCTCCCTCTCAAATAAGTAAAATCTTAAAAAAATCCAAAGGGGCACCTGGGTGGCTCAGTTGGTTAAGCATCTGCCTTCGGCTCAGGTCATGATCCCAGGATCCTGGGATTGAGCCCTGCACAGCAGGAAGCCTGCTTCTCCCTCTCCCACTCCCCCTGCTTCTGCTCTCTCTCAAATAAAAAAAATCTTAAAAAAAAAAAATCCAAAAATACAGACATAATAGGAGTCCCCCTTTGCTCTCCCCAGTTATTCTACCCTGCCAAGCCTACTCTGCTCCTCACAGGCAAAAAATATGTATAGAGAGTAATAAAACTTATAGGTTTGTAGACGTCCAGATTTCCTCCTTCTGCATTTATAGACCTATATGAACAGGTATATTTTCATTAGTAATTTTTTTTCCCTCCAGCTTTCAATTTTGAAAGGTTAAAACTACAAAGCTGAAAGAATGCCACAGTGGTTACCCACGAATCTACATTTTGTGCATTTGCTTGATCTTTTTGAACTGCAGACATCATAAAACTGAGTCCTAAATATTTCAGCATGTATAGCCTAAGAATATATTTCTATATAACCACAATATAAGTATCTAAGAAATTTAACAGACACATCATTTTTTATAAAATCCATATTAAAATTTTTTCGATTGTCCCAATTATGACCTTTGTAGTAAAAAAAAAAAAAAAAAAGAAATTACCTCCAGGATTCAACCAAAGTACACATATTGCATTTACCTCTCAGATTCTTCAGTCTCTTTTAATCTGTAACAGTCCTCCTGTTCCCCCACACACACCCCCCCGCCCCATCTACCAAATTTTGGTCTTAAGAATCTAAGCCAGTTGTCTTGTAGAACGTTCCACAATCTGGATTTGTTTCTTCATGATTAGATTCAGGTTAAACTTTTGGCAAGAACACTACATAGGTGGTGCTCTGTTTACAGAATACATTTTAATCCTTTATCTGTTGCTTATATATAGCCATTATTTTCTTCTAATAATACAATTTTGTTTGAAAATGATTTAAAAAAGTTTTTCCTTCATTGCTTTTAGTTCTGTGCCACATCTCTTCTAAAACTGATTCTATAATATTAACACGAGCCTGTCTCTCTACCCTCTACGTTGTTCTTGTAATTCCTTCTTTAACCCGAACAGTTTTAAATTAAGAAGATTAGAAATATAGTCCATTTCCTTGGCACTCAATTTGATTTCCTTACAACCCAGTATGCTCTAATTTCATCTGGCTTCTAATTAAAGTTTAGGAAAAAATAAAAAAGACTTAATTTTGAATAGCTACTTCTTTATAATCGTCAACTAAGTGAAACTGAGCCAAGCATCTCAAAGCAGCTATGTGAAAAGTTAACTGTATCTGAAGACAAAGGATTTAATTTAGCTATAGCAATCTTTTTTCCTCCCTTTGAGGACAGCAGTATTAATCAGAGGCAATTACTCTGCAAAATGTTTGGGTGGAACTAGTCTGTATAACTCTGTTGGGTGTGTATTAGTCACTTTGACCAGAATACAAAAAACAGTCCTTTACCTCAATGTGAGGACTTTATCTAAACAATTGTAAAATAATAGTGGGCAAAAAAGCCAGAACTTCAGGGGCTCCTGAGAGCTCAGTTGGTTAAGTGTCTGACTCTTGATTTCAGCTCAGATCATGATTTCAGGGTCGTGGCATTGAGCCCCACATCGGGCCCTGATTCTCCCTCTTCCTCTGCCCCTCCCCACTACCCTCTCCCTTTTTAAAAAAAAAAAAAAGCCAGAATTCGAGAATTTATATGATTCCATTCAGGTACAGTTCAAAAATGAAGCAATGTGTTGTTTAAGGAAACATATATGGTAAACTCTAAATTAGAGAAGAGCAAGGCAATGATTAATGTGAAATTCAGGACAATGACAGGTGTAGGTATGGCAAGGAAGAAGGAAGGTTGATACTATTTTATGGCACTTACAACATTCATTTAAACCAACAACTTACTCTTCTATACCTCTGATTTGATTATAAAGAACTAAAACTGTAAGAATAAAGAGCTTCTCTGAATTATGCAATGTCACTGGATAATTTATACATAGTAAAAGGACTCAATTTTTTTAGTGGATTACCTTTCCTTGGTATGGTAAACCACTTAATTTCACTGCAAAATACATGACTTAGAAATAAAATTCTTCTCAAGGGGATTTTATTAATGCAACATGGAAAATTTCTTCCTTTCAAAGACTGTATCACTAGCATATAAAAACAAAACAGCATGCAAAAGAAATTTATAGAAGATTCTACATTTGGAGAAAAGTACATTGAGAGGCTTCTTCTAAGTAATATGCAACACAAGAAAGTGGACTAGAGTAAGCATAGTAACTATTACTCCTCTTCACTGTTGAGAAAAACCACTCCGTCTGAGATTGAGGTGGCAAAGAACTTTAGATGATGGTCCCAATTTTTCACATTTTACAGGTTATGAACTGAGACTCCAAAGCAATAATTTTCAACTACTTTCTGAACAAGAAACCCAGGCTTGGGAAGGTTTTGATGCCAAAATAGAGAGTGGAAATGAGCATTTTTGAGCTTTTGATGGAAAAATAGCATTCAAAAAAATAAACTCTAAATAATGGAAGTTGTTCCAAGACCTTCCCTGGAATGGTCTTACTAAATAAAAATAATTCTACCACAACACTCACACAAGGAATAGATGTTAAGAACTTCTGGAATAGAACATGGAAATGATCCAAATTGCTGCATTCCATCAGGACTACTTTCTTTACAACCATGAAGAGGCACTGAAGCTCTGCTAGCAGTTCAGAGGAGGAATACTTACATGCTTTCTTTCTGTAGCTTTTAGAGATTTGGCAGCATAGTAAAAAAGCTGTGTCCCACACAAAGCTGCCCAATACTTTGTCCATGATGCCACCTGGAGAGACAAACACAGGAACATACTACCACCGGCTTCTTCTCAGTTTCTTTACTTTCTTAGTGCCGATGACCTTTAGCTCCACTCCGGCCACCTTAGTCTAATCTTAAGAGTGGAATCACTGCTGAAATCTTTATCTCCCACATTCCTGTCACTTCCACTGAATATGCTCTACTACTACTTTCATTCAATTCAGATAACTATTGGTTTCATCAAAACCCATACCACTTTTTAACATTATCTAGCCTTGCTGTCTCCCCATCCTGTATCCTTCCCTCTCCCTTCTTCATATTTAGCCAATACCACATGGTCCAGCACTATAGCCATTCCCTTCCAAATACTTGAATCCCACTGTCCCTCTCTCCTAATTGAACCCTAGCCCTATTTAAATCTAACCATCTGATTACTTGGCACATTATAATGACCGAATATTGCTGGAGAAATCACACAATTGTGCCAACTGATAAAATTAGAACCAACAATCTCATTTAGAAATCAATAGTACTTCATTTTTACCCCATGAAGTCATTATACTCTTTCTCTCTGGAGACAACCATTTCATTCCTTTTCAAAAACCCTAGTACTCCATCCCCTTATGATAGCACTGCACACTCCCCAGAGAAAAATAGGTGAAATCTGGTGAGGACTTCCTCATCTTCCCAGACCATTTCCATCTAACCATCTGTTTGTAGACCTACCTACTTAGCCGTTCTTCCTGCTGCAACAGAAGAGTTAACGCTGCTTCTATCAAAGGAGAAACTACCCTCCTTTTGTGCTCTAGATTCCTACTATCTCTCACTCCCTCAAGAAATCTGCTTTTGTCATTTACTCCTTTCTCCACTGTCTTGATTTCTCTCCCTCTCCCATCATTATGCAAATGAGGCTTCACAGCACTCTCATCTTTGAAAATCCCTCCACCGCCCCGTCCTCTGCCCCATCAGAGAGCACCCAATTTTTCTGCTCCTGTTCACAGCATAACTTCTTGCAAGATGTCTCTAATCCCTGACTCTACTTCTCTCTTGCCCATTTTCTCAACTTACTTTCGGTTAGGCTGCTGATGTCAAGGTCACTGATCACTGACATATCCCAAAGCCTCTGTTCTTACCAGTCAACCTCTTAGCAACATCCAACACAGCTGGCCACTCCTTCCTTCTTGAAATACTTTAACCGCTGCGCTTCTCTGGTAACAGTTCCTTCACTTTCCTCTATGCTTCTCATAGCAGACCTTGATGTGCTCCATAGTTCTATCCTCGGCCCTCTTTTCTTCCCCAGCTATACTTTCCTCACAGATAATGTCTCACCTGGTCCCATACTTCAAATACCATCTGTATACAAACTACCCCCAAATCCCCATCTCTGGCCACCACTTCTCTGCTGAACTTCTGACCTGTACTTTTTAGAGCTAAACTGACATCTCCACTTCTATGCCTAAAACGCATATTCAAGTGAACTTAGCTAAGACTTACCGGCCCTTTCCTGAAGAAACTTTTCCTATTTCAGTAAACATTCCCAACATTCATCCAGCTCAGACCCCACCAGGTACCACCGTCACGTCACGCTCTCTCATACACCGCACCTAATACATCGTCAAGTAACCCTAACCGTTCTCCCGACTTCACCTCCTCCACCTGCTGCCCCTCAGCTCCCCAGGCCTTCTCGCTGCCTGAACTCCGATCCTCATGCGGCTAGCTCGCCTGCCTCATTCAGATGGCAGCTCGGGTGCCTCGCCGTGCTGACACCTCTCCTCATCCTCACACCTGCTATCCCATTACCTTATTTCAAGGGCTTACTTTCTATTTGTCTCGTTGGAATGTCATTTGCACAAGGCAGGCACTGTGCCTCATCTTGTTTGCTGCTCTATTTCCAGCATCTGGCACACAATAGTGTCGTAATGCCTCAACTGACAGGCTACTCCTAGTTTTTACTAGCTGGCCTCATGTAGCTTCTCGACCGTGCTTTACTGTAACATAAGCGGCAAAATCAAACTGCTTAGCTGTAAACCATTTTTACATTTTAAGAGGCTCTCATATCTTCAAAATTGTCAAGTTTGGATACACACTGAAGTTTTTATTCCAAACTAGATAAATTATACTATTATTTGAGAAAAGAAAAAACAAAGTCTTCTTTAGCAGTCAAACTGCTTGCTGGGGAAGAAGAAACTTCTAAGTTATGTACAAAAGGCTTTGTGCTACTCATCTTTTACCACTTAGATAACAATGGTTTGGAGGACATTTAATATCTGGGTTTTATTTCACGAAGGAAAACGAAACTTCATTACAGAGATGTAAATAAACAACTTACGACTGACAAAACAAAATTGGTTGCATTCCACTTTTTAGGGTTATTACTCTCAATTCTTTATTTTTCCTAAACTTATTACTATAACATTTCATAATGGCATATACTTTCAAGGTTCTCTGAGAAATGTTTTTGTGTAAGAACTACACTAGGGGACAGAGAGGGGTACAGGAGCACCTTGATGGACACACCCTCAATGTATGATCTAATTGAAGTCTAAATTAAGAAACACGGTGAGGCAAATGTGCATTTTCAATTATTTCAAGTGTACCATACATCTGGTCTTATTTCATTGTTTTCATATTTTTTTAGGGTCCTGTATGTTCGCTTATTTTTGGAGGTGTGTTAAAATATAATACAATAATATCTTACTGTAGGCTTTTTGCCTTCTTTTAACAAAGTTTTTCTCCTGAGAACACCTTGAATAGTGACAGCTCCTGGATATAAATGTACTGCCAAATCTTCTGATTCTGCAGAACTATAATAATGGAATGAAGAAAAGAACATGTAAGACCTTTTGTGTATAGCAGTTACAAAGCAGGTACTTAAATGAAATGTAATCACTCTTAGTTTTAAAACTTCATTACTGTATTTAGCATTAGAAGACACTGACAATTATAAAGGCTTACTCAGCTGAAATTTATAAGCTGTCATAAAAGTTTAATCAGGAAGTTATTAAAGTCAACAGATGGTTAAAAAACGCACACTTTATTACATACCTGAACAAGTATAATTTAGAAAGAATAGAGTAATTCACTTTAGTCAAGATTAAATTAAGGATTTAAGACTTTCCCTTCTTTTTAACATGCCACATTTGCATCACTGCTGTAAACTTTTTTCCCCTTAAATACTTTAAGTCCTGGTAGGAAAGGTGAGGATTCTTTTTGTTAAAAAGTATTTAAGCACATAAAACTCAAAATAAAAAGAGCAGAAGCTCAAAAAAAGGAAGAAAAGAAAAAGAAAACCCATGCTGAATTTAATTCTAAAATAGGTGAGAGAAGTAATATAGGCAATAACAACATATTTAAAAAACTAGGGTACTGCAGTAAATTGTAATAACATTTAAATGCTGTCAATGCATAAGTCTTTGATTATAACCTAACAGCTCTGAGACACCTGGGTGGCTCAGTTGGCTAAGCGACTGCCTTCGGCTCAGGTCATGATCCTGGAGTCCTGGGATCGAGTCCCACATTGGGCTCCCTGCTCGGCAGGGAGTCTGCTTCTCCCTCTGACCCTCCCCCCTCTCATGCTCACTCTCTCTCTCTCATTCTCTCTCAAATAAATACAAATCTTTATATATATATATAAAAAAAAAATAACCTAACAGCTCTCCAAGGAAGGAATAACTCCCAAACTCAAGATTTCCTTTTCACGTATCTTAAGAAAACCACCACAAAATAACCAAACATTTAAATATCTTTCCCCAACTGACTTAAGGTCCTATATTTAAAACAACAATAACTTCTACGAGTCAATTAAAACATACACACTAATAAAATTATCTGCCATTCTTTGGGGATCTGACATGATATGCAGAATTCCTACAACAGGGAAGAAAACAAGTTTGCCAGTTTCTCTCTTTATGATTATTTAGGTGTCTTCAAAGTGACTTAAAAACCTAGAGACCACTAGAAATTTCATGCTATTGCTATTTATATTCAGGGTATACACAAAGATTAGACACCAAATTGACAAAAAGTTTACTTCTGAAGTTGGCTATTGTATGTGTTGTATTATGAAGTGGCTCATTACCCATTACCAGTAACCTCCAGCCCCACATCAATCTAACATTCTCATTTCCTTCCGCGGCTAAAATGGTGCAGAAAGAGACCTGGTTTAACTAATAAACCACTGAACAAAAATGAGTTTAAAAGCACAAACATTATTTACTGAGACTTGTCTACATTCAGGTCCTGCAGTTTATATGAAAAATTCTTAAAGATAAATTGAATGGAGCCTTACTAGCAAAGTAAATGCTGTGACAGCAGCCTTTGAATAATGCTTATCCAAGAACCAGCAGCATTACAGAGACCTGTGCAGTTCTAAGGCCACCAAGTTGGAATTATTCTGCAATTAGCTCAGTGGATCAGAAAGAGAAGTTCAAATTTATCTCTAGATTAAATCTTGGCAAGAAAGCTTTTGTGAGCATTTTTTTAGTTTTTAAACTAATTAGCTGAGAAAGAACAGAGATACTGTGAGATCACACCCATTTAGCCAATCACCAACACCAGAGGGGAGTTCTGTGACCCCTGAATGCAGGGGGATTGTACCTGCTGGCCTTCACGTGGCTTCGATGGCCATTTCGTGCCACTCGTGTCACCGGGCCGAGAGAATGGTATAATCTGTTCCTGTTGGATTCCATTATAAATTGTATATATTACATATGCTTTTATTCACACAATCATCAATACCTAGAACAATGTAATAATTTCTTCCTGTAATATAGCTAAATCCTACAAAAGGACAGTATGTGGTTGCTCCTCTTTTCTTAAGCATGCAGCACAGATTTAAAAAAAGATGTTTTCTTCTACTACGACTCTAGAAATACAGGTGTTAGGATATACCACACATTTTATATACATTTGCTCTCACAAATCTGCTAAAATAATTAGAGTTATAACCAGTACTATCAAAACCTGGATAATACTTCAAAAATCCTTTTGTTTCTATTCCAGTTCTTGGATTACAGTTTAAAAATGGTATCTGGATTTATATAAATAACTCATTTTTATTATATGTCCCTATGAAGACACCTAAAAGCAATGTGGGCTGTAAACTTAAAATTAATGTGGCCTAAACACCTATATCTTCCTCTCTATCCTTTACGGTAAATCCAAGAAAACTAATAAAAGAGATAAGCTGAGTAATAAAAGCATTATTTTATTTCCACATCAACTGAAATAAATGATAAAGCCAATAAATGATAAAAATGGTCTGAGATACTATTTATCCAAAATGGCATGTAATACTTAACAAAGGAAATAAACACACACACATAGAAACACCAACACTTCTTTGCCTGGGAAAAGCCAAAGGTAGCACTGTTGATAAATGTTATTTAAAGCAAAAAAGCATTATTTTAGCAACTTAAGCAGCAACATATTTGATGTCTCTGTAGAAAATAAGGACAGAGGGTGATATGTTTAACATTCAGAGAACTATTTTCAAATTCACTATCTACAAGTAGTATTTTAAAAATCCTAGTTCTTTATTTACTTTTTATTATTCCATGTCTGAATCTTGCTGGGAAGCATTAATTTGCTCTCAAAATGTTCCCAGAGCCACAGATTTAAACTTGGCACAAGTACAGATTTTTTTAAGCTGCAAATGTCTGCAAAGCAAAACATTTGTTGTAAAAGAAAGACATCGTTTTGAGATGTGAAGGTAACACTATTAAATACTGTCTTCAAACGTAACCTGCTGGGATGAGAACAGATTACTGCATACACCACCATCCTGGTTATTCACTTTATAATGCATGCAAACTGAGAAACGATTTTTTCCATCCATGTTTTTTATCTAAAGATTACAATACACTCTATAATCAACATATGATGCTCTTCCTGGAAGGAAAGAACTGAAATCACTTGTACGGACAGCATGCCAGAGGCAACTTGTGTTTTTCTCATTTCAGGCAAACCCTAATAAAGAGACTGAATGTAAAAGTTGGAAGAGAAATAGTATGCAAAAACAAGTTGTTAAGGCCCCCCAAAAACAAAGAATAAGACTTGGGAACTCTGATAACTAGAGTAGAAAGGCTCAAGAGTACTTTGAAATGCTGGGTTTACAAATAAAATCTTAATCACATAACAGAGAGAAATCTTCATGAAGTTTCATTAAGAACAAGAATATTCCAATAAACAGCATGATATTAACCAATTCCAATATCGTTTACGGATAGTTAATAAAATTGTTTTCTACTAAAAAAGTGATTGATACAGAGTTAGGTAACTATTTTCATTTCCATCAATTTTAATATGGCACTCAAAATTCAATCTAAATGACACTCTACTGCTTAGAAATTTAGGTTGCTCAGTTTATATACAAAAGGGAGCAATTATTTTGGCAAGAGTCAAGCATCCTGTAAATATGAACATGGAAGAACTGAAATGGTCAAAAGACAATATAAAAGTCCTAATTGATATTTAGTAAATAAATTATTTGCACTGTTTGGCTACATTTTTAAGAAGATCTTACATTCGAAGATCAATGTAGCATGATATCTGCTGTAGGCAGATGACAACTTTTAAAACTTAAAGTAATAAAAGGGAGCATGACTTACAGTATTTCAGTTGACTATGACTGGTTATTATGATTTTAAATTTATAATTTTAAAGGTATTAAAATTCAAATATGTGTCAAGTCACCAAATAAACCTATATTTATTAGCTAAGACTTAAATATCAACTTCTAATTTCTGCCACCAGTTGGAAGCTTATAAATAGTCCCTTAGAGACATGTTAACAAATATTACCTGTTAAAATGCTTATGATCATATCTTTTAAGGAAGACAAACTAAACCTGAAGCAGTTCAAATGAACGATTCTTCTTACCTTTCAAAAGCAGGCCATGAGGTCTCTTCACTTAGTTCAGAACCATCACTGCTACCTAAAACCAAAAGTTATTCTATTTTTAAAACATCAGAATTACAGTTTAAATTTCGTATTTTAAAAATAAATTCTTTAATTGTACTTATAAAATGACAGTCATGTTATTTGTGGGTGAACATCCACATTAGTATTAATGCTGCTAGGCTCATTCTGCAATATGTTGGAATTTGGTTGACAAGACTATCTAAAATAACAAAATAGCATAAGACATTTTTGTAGAGCTACTTATAGCTCAGATTCATCATGTTAATAAACAATTTTCTACCATCAGAGAATGTACCGTAAGCACAAAATTTTTCAAAATTTCGTCAAAATTTAAGACCAATATAATTGTGAAATTCTTAGAGGTTCACGCCATATATTCCCTTTTGTATTCCTTTTAAAACCTTTTACTACCCTAAGGATAAAAAGCTTAATGAAATTTAATTTTTGCCTTCAGAGGCAAGGTAGAACAGGATGGAATCCCTAAATTAAAAAAAAAATGGTGCTGTTAGCAATCTAAAAACTTTCTCTTTATAGCCAGAATAGCAGTTAAAATAAAAAGTTTTACGTTAGCTAAAGAAAAAACTGAGGGGAATAAATTTGGAAAGTCCAAAACAGCTTACACTGATTTAAAAGTTTAAAGATAATTCTGGCTCTCAACAAAACTGATGATTAATCTGTCTTTTATATATCAAGTTGAACTATGAGACTTTTCATACTAGTGTTCCATAAGAGACACAAACTCCAATGCTAAAAGGTACGCATTGTATGTGATGGATTAAACCTTGTTTATGTATTTAGAGTGGCACTAGTTACATACATACTATCCTTGGAAAAACTGAGTAAGAATAACAGAAAAAATTTTCTTGTTGTGTGGTTCAGATGAGAAACTGGAACTATTCTGTTGGTAGTGGTAGGGTCTTATAGATTCTCTTTTGATTTGTAGCATTATGTGGTAAAGACTGAAAAATCAATCATAATTAGTCTGACTTATTTGTAGAAAATATAAGTTTTTCTACAAGCATGAAACTCAGAGTGGGTATGCTTCTCTTAGCTAGGCAAGACCACTTGAGGTTATCTAAGACGTCTGTACCACATTAGAAAATGTTAGAGGCCACTGTCCCAAGCACTGGTTAATTTCTCTGGAGTACCTTCTCAAAATCTCCATGGTATAGACTAATAGTGTATATTAAAGTTACAGCTAAGGAAAAAACCCTTTTGTGATTATAAATTGTGTGTGTGTGTGTGTGTGTGTAACATCTACCATTTATGGTTATAAATTTACTTTCCTTCCAGAATATATAGCTTGAAAACAATAAACCATGCAAGGTAATAGCTATGTCTAATGTTCTAATTTATAAACAAGGATGTGCAGTCTTTACTGTTTACCCACTTAACAGCCTTAGAATAAAAAATAAATACAAATGCAAAAATTAAAATAGTCTCTTCCTTTTTTTAAAAAGATTTTTTATTTTTAAGTAATCTCTACACCCAATGTGGGGCTTGAACTCACAACCCCAAGATCAAGAGTTGCACACTCTACCAACTAAGTCAGCCAGGCGTCCCTAAAATAGTCTCTTCCTGTTCTAAAAGAAAGGCCTCCATACTGAGACACTAACTGTAACTGAATGAAATAACGAGATAAATAACTATCTTGTGATAACCAAAAGAACATCAGTGGAAAGTAAAAGCCACAGATAAACTAAAGAATTACCATTATAAAATTCATGATGGGTCAAAGTCCAATATTATATATACTTAATTGAGAGCTGTAATTTAAAAAAATATTATTTTTTGGTTTAAGTGGCATGCTAGATTCCATAGTGTAACAAATTTACTAATTTAATGGGAAGAAAGTTCTTTTCCCCTTTTGCAAAATTACTCTGCGTATTGTTTTCAAGTTGAGGTTGATATTTGCATAATGACAGCTTATAGCATTAATGAAGAAGTATTTGAGGGGCCAACTTGTCTTCTATTTTGTGAATTTTGTCATCATATCATCATTTGCACTTTGGAATTAAAGAACTGCTGAATGGTGCTGGAAAGCTCTAAATCAATTTTGTTTACAGGGTTTGGAATTCTTTGTTTAAGAAAATGAACTCCTTGAATTTCTTTCTATTGACTATGCATCAATATTGAGATGATCCTATTAACAATAACAGGCTTAGCCCCTGAGCAACCTGGCACTTAACCAGAGAGGAAGATATTTTCTTCCTTTATTCCTTTTTAAAAAATAAGAAGGTTTTTCTAATAATCAAAAGAAATAATGCTCATTTTAAAAGATTCAGAAAATAAAGAAGTTTAGGAAGTAATAAGAAATTTTCCTCACAACCTCACATCCCTTTCCAGCATGGTCGCGATTTTCTGGTCCCCTTCATCTCTATTCCCTGGCCTCTCATTCTTCAATCTACTCCAGTCAGGGCTCTGACTCCACTATCCTATGAAGTAACTCTTATCAAGGTCTCCAATGACTTCTATCTTGCCAAATGCACTGATCAATTCCCATTCTCTTCTTTTTCTTGCATTTGATAGTGATAACATTAAATACCTCCCTCTTCCTGGAGATACTTCCTCTATTGGGCTTTTGTGATACCACACCCTGATTTTTATTCCTATTTCACTGATCCCTCCTTCATATTTCCTTTGATGGCTCATCTTTTTTTAAGAAAAATACTAGGGGCACCTGGGTGGTGCAGTAGGTTAAGCATGCAACTCTTGGTTTCAGGTCAGGTTGTGATCTCATGGTCATGAGACTGAGCCCTGTGTCAGGCTCTGTACTCAGCATGGAGTTTGCTTGAGATTCTCTCTCCTCCCTCTGCCCCTCCTGCTCGTGTTCTCGCTCTAAAATAAATAAATCTTAAAAAAAAAATAAATAAAAATAATTAAACAGACCTCTGAATGTTAGCATGTCTTCTTTTTTTTACATTCTCTTCCTTGGTGACCTCAACCAATCCCATGGCTTGAAATACTATGCTACATATGCGAACTCCTATGCTTAATACCTACCGACCTAACCTGAACCCACTGAGCTCAAGTGTCATGTATTCAGTTCCCTATCGGACAACTCCATGTGGACCAAACAGGTCCAAAACAGGATTCCTAACTCCTCAAATCCAGTCATCCTTCACAAATACCTCACCACCTACAAATGCTTGCTCTTCTGTCTTTTCTATCATGGCAATAGTACCATCATCCAGAAACTGGGAGTATACCCACTCTACCCCTTTTCTCATTCCTACAACCAAACTGCATGATGTAACCAATTCAAACAGTCCACCACCTTTTCCCATCATTCCTCAAATGCCTCCCCTTTTGGAGTCAAAAACATTAAGCAGCTTTTAAAACATCATGATTTATTAACTTTAGTAGGTACTAGTAAGATGATCCTATATCTGATTGCTACTTTGCTTTTATCAAATTTTCTCTATGTATATTAGGGTTAATGACTTTTTTCCAGCTGAGTTTTAAATCTCATTTTCATAAATTGAATCCTCTCAGAGAAGTATTTCTCACCTATTGATATTCCACTAGAAAGAGTAGAACTTTCAGCTTGGCCTCGAGATGGTGCATGGGGCTCCATGACGCTGTCGTCTAATAGATGCCTTGGCCCTGCATTTGGGAACGTTGCACTCTTAAACTCGGCTGTGTTCATTTTATGAATGAAACTGGAAACAAAGAGAAATATTTTTCGTATCTTTTACTATTGTTGTTAATTCAGGATATAAAAGATACTCCTAAAGATGCAAGATACAGAACATTTACCTGCTACCCTAAACTGATTTCTGAATTCTCATACTAATAAACACACAGATTTTACCATAAAAGCCTCAAATTAACAGTTTAGGGAAAGTATTTTAGGAAACCAGACCAGGCCAGAGATAATATTTTAATTTCATCTTGAGTCTTGGGTCCATTAAAAAATTGTTTCACATTTACTTTTGGAAAATAGCTATTTTAAAAATCATGGCAAAGGTGAACTACGGGCCCCATTTTGAGTAAACAATCTTGCAAAGGTAATGATGTTAAACAAAAAAAATCAGCTTCCTTTTCATTATATTTAGGAATAAAAGGAGTAACTTTTTCCCCCCAAAAGATTTTATTTGACAGAGAGATAGAGTGAGCACAAGTAGGCAGAGTGGCAGGCAGAGGGAGAGGGAGAAGCAGACTCCCGGCTAAGCAGGGAGCCTGATGCAGGACTCGATCCCAGAACCCTGGGATCATGACCTGAGCTGAAGGCAGATGCTTAATGACTGAGCCATGCAGGTGCCCTAAAAGGAGTAATTTTTATAGACTTTTTTTTATCGTGACTTATTTTGATTAAGACAAGCAATGACTGTTTTGCTGTAAAAGTTGTAAAAGGAAAATGGGATATTGCTTTCCTGACTTTATGATGATACTCTGTAATATAGTTCATTTATCTCCCCCAAAGGTAAACAGTGGGAGAAGCTTATTTCCAAATTAAGGTAAAGGAAAAACTAAATGCTTCTAGGCAAACAAAATATTTTACTGAATCAGGAAAAAACTGCTGTTATACAAATAAAACTACATTTAACTAATAAAATATATAGAAAATAAATCCAACTGGAAACAACTTAAAAATTTGAAAGATAAAATGAAAAATGCTGACTTATAGCCCAAGCTATGGCACTTCCTGTGTCCATGTGGAATCAAGTTCCGAGGGGACGGCGGCGTCTGTGGTAGCAGGGCTCCTTCAGCTGCCACACTTTTTCTTCCACTTTGTGGAGATGCTCCTACTTCAGGACCTAGCGGTTAAATGCAAAAAAGAGAGAGAGAGAAATTTTCAGACTGTTTCAAAAGATTTTCTTTTTAATCCTTTGATTAAAAAATATAAAACGTGGTTTAAATTTTAAGATAATAATACTGTTAATTCTATTTAACTGACCGAACATTAAAACAGAAGAGAAGGGCTCAGGATATCACATCACAGATAACGCCTGGACTAATCACTCAGAGGAGTCCCAGTTCAGTGCTCATTTAATTTTTTTTTTTAATTTTTAATTTTTTAAAAAAGATTTTATTTATTCATTTGAGAGAGAGAATGTGTACACAAGCAGGGGGAGTGGCAGAGGGAGAGGGAGAAGCAGACTCCCCACTGAGCAGGGAGCCCGACATGGGGCTCAATCCCAGGACCCTGGGATCATGACCTGAGCTGAAGGTAGACGCTTAACTGAGCCACCCAGGCGCCCCAGTGCTCATTTAATTTTACACATTGCTTCTCTCTCTTAGTTTCAGCTTCTTCTTGGAGAAAGAGCATATAGGGCAGGTCAAGCATTCAAATTGAAATTTCAATCTATATTGACACTGTTCAGACTTATGGGAGTTAAAAAAACCAGAACTTGAAAGTACACAGATTTGCAAAACAGCACTTTAACAATGAAAACAAAAGCAAATTTAAGAGATTCAGACTGCCATGTTTTCCACTGCTTATAGCACTCTCCCCCTAGATATCATCATGGCTTGTCCCCTTGCTTCCTCCAAGTCTTATTGGATGGGACTCCAAATACTTATAGGGTATGTAATATTATGAAGCTTAGTGCCAAAGTCTGCTTTTGAAATTTAAAAAAAGGTACTTATTAATAATTTCTTAAATAATGAACAATTCTCTCCAATTTTATGTTTTTAATTATGTGGTATGCATATATTACCCCCATTATAATGCAACAGGTAAATTATGGGACTGTGACTATTTTTTATTATTTTCAGTACTTAGCCCAGTATTAGAGAGACATTTCTAAAATGTTACTAAAACTGATTTCTATATTCTAATCAGTAAAATTTTCCACTCAGACCACAGAAATTTTAATGTAATCAATCTTCATCGACCAGAACAGTGTATTCTTTTTTTTTTTTAAAGATTTTATTTATTTGAGAGAAAGAGAGAGAGAGAGATCACAAGCAGGGGTGGGGGTGGGGGGTAGAAGGAGAAGCAACTCGCCACTAAGCAGGGAGCCCGATGTGGGACTCGATCCCAAGACCCAGGGAACATGACCTGAACCGAAGGCAGACGTTTAACCGACTGAGCCACCCAGGTGCCCCAGGACAGTGTATTCTTAATAAAACAAAGAACAGATATTCATAAACACTTACCTATTTTTTTGTTTGTTTTATCTATTTTCCTTAATTAGTTTGTACATTACTACACACTCCAAGTAACAACTTCTTAATTAAAAAACAAATAAAAAAACCCAAAGAAGTGATATATTTTAATACCAAAAATAAATTTTTACATGCATTATAAAATGTGCTAAGTATTTATTTATTTACTTTGGAGCATATTCTTTCTTTTTAGGTTATCTGATCTATTATTCAGTAATCAGAAAAAACTATGCACTAACCTACTAAATCTTCTCTTGAAGCAGCAGAGCGTGGTGTGCTTGTCCCTGGTTCTATCTTTAACGAAAGCCTGAATTTTAAAAAGAAACAAAACACATAAAATGATTAATATTTGACAATATTAAAATTATGTATTTCCTCAGGAAAAAATTAAGCATTTTAATAAAATAATCTCAGTTATATATTTTTTTAAAGAGCAATCTTTAATAATAGTAAATCTCATCTCTTTCATACAAAGCATATCTTACAGTTATTTTAGGAAATTTCAGGGAGGGAAAAAATATTAAAAAGTTATATTTAAAAACGGAAAAATCTCCCTAAACGACCCTAATGTTGTCAAATGGTTCAACACATTTAAAGATATTTGATGGAAGACTAAAAAGTGATTTAACTTGAGGTTATATTGATACCTGACAAATTCAGGAATTTTCATGTACATTACTAAATGTATTACACAAATTAGTTCTAGAATCTTTACTGGATGGATAAATGGCTTCTGTAGCACTGAAAATTTCCAAAACATCCCCCAAAACAACAAATTCAACTTCTTAAAAGATCTTCAATAATAAAAAAGTTGTTTGCAAAATTCCTGGTAAATCCCTGTCCTAAGTCAAAGTTTATTAACTGGTACTTAAGTTCCATTTAGGATAATATATCCAGTTTTGAGTTCCACAGCAAAGAGAGATTATGACTCCTATCAGTGGAAACTATTTCAGGAAATATGATAGTAAAGCAGTTGTAGAAAATACTTTGGTATAGTCCACAAAGCCTATTATTACTAAGTATTTGTCTAAATATTAGTACTTTTTAAGAAAGCATTCTACCAACTGGAGTTTTTTAATGAAATTGCACAATACAAGTGATATTCATCATGATAAATCTATTATAGGTTCTCAACTTATTTCCTTGATAACCTCATAGGGGATTATATATAATTATATTCCAAGTCTCTCACTTTAAGTCTTTTTAAAAGCTTTTTTTAAATTTTTTAAGATTTTATTTATTTATTAAAAAAGGATTTTATTTATTTATTTGACAGAGAGAGAGAGAGAGCACAAGCAGGGGGAGAGGCAGAGGGAGAGAAAGAAGCAGGCTTCCCGCTTAGCAGGGAGCCCGATGCGGAACTCGATCCCAGGACCCTGGGATCATGACCAGAGCCAAAGGCAGATGCTCAACCAACTGAGCCACCCAGGTGCCCCTCACTTTGAAAAGTTCTTAAAGTTAAGTATGTGTATGTTCCTTTTATTAGAAAAAAATATTTGTGAAAGACACAAAGTTAAATTTGAAAGCCTGGGAATAACTGGCATAATAAAGCTAAGCAAAAATTTTTTTATTGGAAATTAACAAATGAAGTCACAAGCATCAGAAGCCTCTAGAGAAATAAGCTCTTTATCCTTCCATCTTTTGAAAAAAACAAAAACAAAACAGAACAAAAAAACCCCCTGCAGTTAAGATGTACAGTATACCATTGAAAATAAAAAGGGTTAAAACTTAAAAAACCTTCCCACCTTGGGCAGAATTGTGGATGTTAAGGAGACGGAAATGGGCAGCTGTATTTTAAAAGTGATTTAAATTTTTTTTTTAATTTAAAGTGATTTCTAAAATCTTTAATAAAGGACTTTCTCTATTATAATAGAGAAAAGGGTAAGTGTGGTGCTGGACATGTCTCTACCCTAGAGGTAAGAAGGTTCAATATTCTCTCAATCCACAAAAACAATTAAAAACAAATTCAAAGATGTGTCAAAATTACCATTACAAAAGGAGTAATTTCCTATTTGTAGACAGTTTAATTTTTCAATTATAAATTTCCATAAAGATTCAATGTTTGAATATAAAGAAAGGAAGACATTTATACTAGATCTAACATCAGCTCTCAACAACTTAACAAAAGTGAAATATTTTTAAACAAAAGAACATATGAGGTATTTGTATATTGTCTCAATCATATCAAGTGATTAAAAAGAAATACATAAAAAAATAAAAATACATACAAATACTTTAACCACTGTAAATGTATACCTGGATTAGGCATTTGCATGATATGATGTAAAATTCAGATGTTTAAACACATGGGGACAAAAGGGTAGAAGACAGCACAGTTAAACAAACCACTTTTGAAGATCCAACCTACTTGTAATTATCATCTTCCACAAACTTCTGTAGTTCTTCTATATACTGAACAGAGTTCAGATATTTTTGGACATGAGGCAACATGGGGATATCTAGGCAAAACGTGATAATTATTTGACACAGTATATCTTTAACCACAATTTTAAAAGTTAATCTGAGAAAAATATACTTAAAGAAAAATTAAGGCTGCATGGCACCAAAATTTAAATTAACTCTAGAAGGACACTATTGAGGTAGATTTTATTTAATGTAAAACTGATGGTAATTTAAAAAATTACAGTTGCATGTTGTTTGTATAGATAAAAAACAAAACAAAACACCAAACACACTCTGGTTTCTCTTCAGATCATATATTTAAAAAAAAACAAACAAAAAAACAGCTCCATTTACAAAATCCCACATATCTGATAAACTTCCTCTCCACCACCCCCCCCACTTTTAGGAAGTTTTTAAGTTTTTCTTAAAAGCATACACGCACATAAAATAGCTTTAAGACAAATCTATTTTTTAAAATATTTTATTTATTTATTTGACCCAGAGAGAGAGACAGCGAGAGAGGGAACACAAGCAGGGGCAGAGGGAGAGGGAGAAGCAGGCTTCCCACTGAGCAAGGAGCCCGATGCGGGGCTCGATCCCAGGATCCTAGGATCATGACCTGAGCCGAAGGCAGATGCTTAACGACTGAGCCACCCAGGCGCCCCAAAACAAATCTATTTTAAATAAACTGGATAATGTAAACTCACTGTTTCAAAGTATATACCAATAAGGGTATCTTTATTCCCTTTCAACCTGAAAGCGTTCAAACATTATAAAACATTAAAAAAAAAATACAACCCCTTTGCTCATCATCTGGGCTTGTGTAAGCGCTTTCTACATATGTGTTTCCATAAAATACCCCTTGAACAAAAAATTGGTTATTTATTCAATAATGAACTGAAGAAAGCTAGTCAATTGTTATAAGGATCACAGGTCTTAGCTCCTTCCCTAACTGAATAATATAAGAACCATTTACATAACAGATCAGGGATATCAAGTGAGATGGAAGATAACAGAAAATAATTTTATAAATTATGCTAGCAAAGTGGCTACAAAAAGAGCAAAAGATAAAACTTAAAATTTTAAATATGACATACTTTAATTCCTTAAAAGCAAGATCTCAAACAGGAGGCTAAATATTAAACAATCATATTTTCCTTTGTATTAGGATGATGTTCCCTGCTGTGTGAAAAATGGCCATCAATTCAGGTAAATGAATCAACAGAATCACAGCATAATGGTGTAGTATTACTCCCCAGAAACGTACCATATTCACAGGACTGCTGTAAATCAGAAATTATTCGAAGGATGTTATTCATCAAATTTGATCTTTGTTCATTTTCTAGAATGCTGCCAGTGGATGGGTATGCTGAATCAATGTACGTTAAATCTGACAAATAGATACCTGAAAGAAAATGAGATACATGAGTGTTTTCTTACTTGTAGTTTGAAAGAGTATGATAAAATGAAGAAGAAAAAAAGCTAATTTATAGCTATATTTTAATATATGCTGTATTTAGGATTTATTGTTATTTAATACACCATAGCCTTGTTAAATCATAATCACTGAGGCCTAGAATTCCATGGATCTGGGGTCAGACATATAAATAATGTTTCTGTAAATGTTCTCTTATGATGCCATTTTGTTTTTATTTATATTTTAAAGTTTATTTATTTATGATCTCTACACCCAACGTGGGGGCTTGAACTCACAAGCCCGAGATCAAGAGTCACATGCTCTACCGACTGATCCAGCCAGGCACCCCCTGATTACCTTTAGGACAGTTCACATGGCATTAGTGTTTGTATATTGTCTTGTTTTGAAGATTGACAGGTGGATTTCTGAAACCGTGTATGTGACTACAAATTGAAGTTAACTATTCCCCCCACCTCGACCCCACTGCCCCATTTCTCTGTACCAACAAAAATAACATAGCCTCCAAAATAACTTGGTACTACCAGTTTTAGATATGCAAAGGCCACACATGTGAAGTGTATAAGACAACTACAGTTAAAGAGAAAAATATACTTTCCTACTTTTTACCTCATTACCCCACATTCATGAACTCTCAAAAACAAAACAAAACAAAACAAAAAACCCACAACTGATGTACCACATACACTGCCTTCCACAAAAGCCCTATGTTTTTTTTTTTCCTCATGCCATTTCTTTCATCTTGACTGTTTCTGAGACTCATCTGTCCATCTCAATTATATTTTATATCCAGGTCAGTGTCAACTGTTCTTTAGTTTTCTCATAGATGCCAAGAGAGGAATTTAGAAACTGTCTTGTCTAACCCCCTCTTTTTATAGATGAAGAATCTGAGGTCCACAGATGTTAAAGGACTGTCTAATGCCATGTGAACTGTTAGTAACAGAGCTGGAGCTCAGAGCATACACCTGTACCCTCGTTTCTCTACTACGCGCTTTTATAAATTCATACAGTATCTATAATACCATTCACTTGATTTTTATGACTTTATAATGTTTAAACTCTTGTATTTATATCTTACCTGTTCATGACTATAAACTTATTTAAGGTAGTTGCTCTGTTTTGCACTCTAAGAAAATGAAAATCTTGTGCAGTGTTTTGACAACAGGTGCTTAGAACAACCTAAAAATCCTTTTACTCATCTTACTCATTCCTTTTCCATTCAGGAAATCTTAACGGTATTCTCTAAGCCATCTATCATAAATACTTCCTTTTCTTTAGAGACTCTCAACTTCTTTTTTTTAATGACTTCAAATGAAGCTTTAGCTTAGCTGCTTTTCCTTCAATCTCAGAGTAGGAAGAATCCCTTTCTCCTCTCCAAATACACACTGTGACTTTAAATGTAATCCCAATAGCCTCCTTTAGAACCCCTGCTGTTACCCCCACAGGTCACTCACCCGCCAGGGGCTCCCCTCCTGGAGACAGTGCAAACATTTACACCTCTCCCGAAGAAAAAATCAAGGTAACCCTCTGTTCAAATCTGACTCCTCCTCCAGAGAGGACCCCTGCCCCTCTCTCTATAACAAACACCTTCATACTGTATGGTGACTAACATAATAAAATAAAAAAACAAAACAAAAAAACACCCAAACACCTTGAAAGAGAAACGAGTCCACTTAACTTATTTTATCCTTCATCTCTTTTTAATGAGATATGACACACATAAAAGTTTACACGTATTAGGAAAAATTATGATAGACTCTGAAATAGGCAAAAAAAATTACCAGGTGTCCCATCTTCTGGACTTTTTGAGTTGACAACTCAGTTTTTGAAAACTAGTAATAATACAAATTCCTGTCCATATAAATGCCAGTGCCTTATGTCCAGTAAAATGTAATAATGCTCTATGGATGCTGACCAGTGTTGCAACTCTGTGTAAATTCATTTTAGCATTCTTTAGTGCCTATCTGGTATGTGTGGTACTTTGAATTCTCTCCTGAAATGGCTGCAGTATCTTCCTGATTCCTTTATAAATTTAATGATTTAAATAAAACCGTGACATGTATTCATTTTGTATTTGTGTAAGAATCATGATTTTACCATTTAAAAAAGTATATTCTAACCCATGTAATATTGGCTGTTATCAAACAATATAATAAACACTGGTGAATGACCAGGTAAGTTAAGAAGTACATCACTAGTACTGTTTGTTCCCTGTATCATCTCCCTGCCTCCCGTCCAGAGGTAACTAACCATTATTTCAAAACTTAAGATTATTCCTTTTTTTTCCCAAGACATATGTATATTTACTTTTGCTTATTTTTGAGCTTTAAAAAAATCACATTTTATACATGTGTGATTAAATTCAATGATAACATCAGTAAACATAGGTACACAATCAGTAATTTATAGGTGTTTTGTTAAATTTTAAAAAATATGGCCTTCTGTGATTGCTGTGTCTCACCATTTTGTTTCCAGGAGTTATTTGTATTGTTAAATCAGCTGTAATTCCTTAGACTGAGAATAACTTAACATGTAACTGCATCACAATTTACTTACTCATTTGATAGACTTTTAAGTTACTTCTTCCCTCCCTCCATGTTGCTATTGACATTCTTACAAATTATCTCCTGGGATACATATAAAAGAATTTCCCTAGGAGATTATATATATATATATATATATATATATATATATATACACATATATATATGGCATTTATATGGTATATTAATGTTCAACTTTACATTATTTTTTAAAGCTTTATCAATTCACACTGCCACTGATAGCATGTAAGTTTCTACTGATCCACACTTGTGCTACACTTGGTATTATCAGTCTTCTTGACTTTTGCCAATCTTGAGGGTATAAAATAATATCTCATTGTGTTTTAAGTTTCATTTCCTTGATTGGTAATGAGGTTATGCATTTATATTTCTATGAAATGTCTTTTATCCATTTATTCCTCTGAGTTGTCTCTTTCTTATTGATTTCTAAGTTCTTAATATATTGCAGAAACCCATCCACTTGGCAGTTAAATTTTATCTACTTTTCAACCCACTATATAGTTTGAAATTTGGGGCGCCTGGGTGGCTCAGTCGGTTGAGCACCTGCCTTCAGCTCAGTTCATGATCCCAGGGTCCTGAGATTGAGTCCCACTTTGGGCTCCTGCTCAGCAGGGAGTCTGCTTCTGCTTATCCCTCTCCCTCAGCCCTTCCCCCTGCTTGTGCACTCTAATAGATGAATAAAATCTGTTTTTTTTTTTAAGATTTTATTTATTTATTTGAGAGAGAGAGAATGATAGAGAGAGAGCATGAGGTGGGGAGGGTCAGAGGGAGAAGCAGACTCCCTGCCGAGCAGGGAGCCCGATGCGGGACTCAATCCCGGGACTCCAGGATCACGACCTGAGCCGAAGGCAGTTGCTTAACTGACTGAGCCACCCAGGTGCCCATGAATAAAATCTTTTAAAAAAAATTATAGTCTGAAATCTGCATCTTGCTGCTGAAACTTATTCTAGCAAAAGTATGAGGGACCTGTTCATTAAATCTTTATTTTTTTTAAAGATTTTATTTATTTATTCAACAGAGACAGAGAATGAGCAGGGAGAGTAGCAGAGAGAGAGGGAAAAGCAGACTCTCCACTGAGCAGGGAGCCCAATGCGGGGCTCTATCCCAGGACCCTGGGATCATGACCTGAGCCGAAGGCAGGTGCTTAACCGACTGAGCCACCCAGGCACCCCTGGTCCCAATGTCTTAACGACTGAGCCACCCAGGCGTCCCATTATTAAATCTTTAAACATCTCTCTCGGTCTCCTCCTGCTGCTTACTAGTGTCTCAGCAGTATTTTTTATCATTCTCTTTGTTCCTTGTGGCTTTACTAGCTCTACTGGCTTGAACCTTCCTACCTTCCCACACCCCCTCCATTCTCCTTTTTCCTCATGTTCCCTAGGTGTTCTCCATGATTCTGTCATTAATCTCACTTTGCATGTACTTTTTCTGGATTATCTTATTTCTGTAGCCTCAACCATCACCCAATTGCCAATGACTTTCTGAGTCTCTCTTTAGAACTGAAATCTTAACTTTAATTTTCAATTTAACATGCCAAACTAAGCACTAGTCTCAAAACACCTTACATCCCAACTTCTTGACTTGGTTAGTGATATTACTAATGTTAAAATTAGAAAGTTCAAAACCACTGAAGTAAAAAAGCTTAGGAGAAACCTACTATCTCTTACTTTCCCCTAGATTAAGCTATCAGCTATCACTTGGTTAGTGATATTACTAATGTTAAAATTAGAAAGTTCAAAACCACTCAAGTAAAAAAGCTTAGGAGAAACCTACTAACTCTTATTTTCCCCCAGATTAGGCAATACAAGAGGATCAAGTAATACTAAATGATCAAGTAATGTATTACATAACATATACCAGAGGCTAAAAGCTGGCATTCCATCTGTCCCAATGTTTTTTTTTTTTTTAAGATTTTATTTATTCATTTGACACAGAGCGAGCGAGCGAGCCAGAGAAGCATAAGCAGGGGGAACAGCAGGCAGAAGGAGAAGCAGGCTTCCTGCCGAGCAGGGAGCCCGATGTGGGGCTCCATCCCAGAACCCTGGGATCATGACCTGAGCCAAAGGCAGCCGCTTAACGGACTGAGCCACCCAGGCGCCCCTGTCCCAATGTTTTTAAAACCAGGAAATATCATAGGAAATATCTAAGTGACTTTCTCTTCCTAAAAAATGGGGAGATCTGGCAACAATGAGGTACAGCTGAGAAGGGTGCAGATCCCACTGTATTAACCTTAAGGATGCCAGTTTGTCCTCTCATTTTCCTTTGTTATCTTACTTCAGGTTTATTTCACTTACTTACATTACCTCCCTCATTCTTGTGAGCATTTGTCGTTGTAGACCCTTGAGTTTGCAACCCCTGGTATACACATATATATCACAGAATTTAAAGAAACGATTCTGTGAAAGAGGCAGAAACTGGGCTGACTTTAAATAATGTCGATCAACAAAGGGATAATGTTAGAATCTACGAGAAAGAAAAAATAGCTCAAGCTAAGGCAACAAGGAGGGGAAAGCACAAGGTATATAAAGAAATTAGAAGCTCCCCAAATTTTACCTAGAAGCAGCAATCAGTAATTATAGAATCCAAGGAGAGACAGTGGCATAATGCTTTGGAATTAGATTCAAACCCCTAGTTCTACTACTTAGTAGTGAAGTATCAAATCAGTTAAGATGCCCCAATTTTTGTTTCATTAGCTACTGAGTTACTTAATCAACATTTCTGGGTTTAATGAAATATAACAGCACAGTTAGAACTGAACAGTTACTAATTCTCTCTCTAGACTTTTCTAAATCCACATAGCCAGTGGGGAGTCAGAACTCTCTTTTTTCAGGCCAGGGTTATGTTTGCTTTTAAATCTCAAAACATCAACTACTAAGAATAACCTTATTTAGACAAGAGGGGTCATGCTTTTAGAATAGGAGGAAGTGACATTATATAACATCAGAATTTTTTAAAGTATTACATTTCTGAATTTTATATATAGATTTCCATTTATTTTTAGTAATTATATATATGAACAGTTTTACCTTAAGAGACATTACAGAGTAAGATGTATCACAACATCAAGTTTCATCTGTTTAAAACCTTCTGAAAGGGCAACTTAGTAAAATGTTTAAAAATTCTTCTACACTATAAAGAGTATTACATTAGGTGGCTGCCTCCTGACAAAGTCTCTTGTTCTTTGTAACAACAACAAAAAAAAGCAGTTATCAGCCTGTTACTATTTCTGAGAAGTTGAGTACTATTTTTTTTCAGTATTCAAGTTAAAAGATCTCTGGCCAGCAGACTAAAATGTTTGTTTTATAATTGCCCGCTGAACTATGATAGTTTGTTTCCAGATGGTGCCCTTCCTTCAACCTGCACACAGTCTCTCCTTGTTCAGAGCTATTCAGCCTCCTGCTGATCCCACTACCCCCACCCCTATTTAAGGCTACAGAGAGGAAATCCTAAGGAGGAGATTTTCCCCCCTAGTCTCCAGCAATTTTTTGGTGACGTAATATGTGGGCTGAACTTGAGTTTACCGAGAAAGAGGGAATCACTATTCGAGGGTGCTGTATATACAATCTGGGTCAGCTGCAGCTGGTTACTGCACTTCTCCATGTGGCAGTCAGAGCAAAGCCACAATGCTTTCTCTGCCGGATTAAAGACAGCCCACAGACCAGAACTTCCACTATACTACTTAAAATTACATAGGTGGCTTGTCAAGTTCAATTGATTAGTGTTGTAAGAAGAAAAAGAAGGTCCTTATTACTGGTTGGATTTGACGGTCCAAAACAAAAATGCAATTGCCATTAAAGTCACAGATGAACAAACATCTACATTGATTTTTAAAAGCAAGAATAAGAGCAGCAAGTTTCTGGGTCTGCTTTATCAACAGATGCATAAAGGTATTTTAGTATTTCTTTTATTTTTCTTTAAAATTCTGTGTATGTTCAAAATTTTGCATTTGTAGAAATTTCAAAATCTTTTATTAAACAAAGAATTTTAAAATATACAATTTATTTTAGTTGAAAAAGGTTTTTTTTTGCACCTCTATGTAAAAAACTGATCATTATGTATTTTGTGATGATTAATGCATGATTTGAGGTTCAATTTAATAATATTTGGTATATATGCTTATACATTGGTACATACATGTTAGGTTTCAGAAAGTAAGTGCTTTAGTGACCCTAGAAATTTTAACAAATAACAAATTAAATGTATAAGGTTTGTAACGCAGTGATTAAAAACAAAGGGATACAAACAAAAGAAAAGAGCTGTAAACATGAGTTTCTCTCCACACAATTCCAGTGTGTGTGCGTTGGCAGGTCACGTATACTGTTAGAGATCTTCGAGTACAGCTACCAAACACAGCTAAAAAAGATATAAAATCAACTGAAAGGCTTTGCAACAATTCCTCAATTATAGTATAACCAAATATTAAGCAGAAATTTTTGTAAAGATTTAAGCTATATCTCTGGTATTTCTTGCAAAAACTCAAAATTTTAAATAACTTTCCAGGTTTACATGTAAGTTATTTAACTTGGGTAACAGAAATTAAAACTGCTATACCTAGAATTACTTAAGAAAGGAAAGTTATTGATACATTAAAAAAAACCCCAAAACTTAAAAAAAAAACCCCTAAAACTTTACAGATTAGGATTAAGGAAAAAAATAAAATGTGACAGAAATATTATATAAGCAGTCAGCAGTAAAGTAGAAAATAAGAACCCAGAAGATATACTTAAATACATGATTAAAAGACCAAAAATACATAATATTTTTAGACAGACATAATTTTGGTAATCATACAAGAGGTTTCTTTCACTATTCTACTTTAACTGTATTATGAAAGCTGTTAAAAATAAAATTACTAGTTAAAACACCAAAGACACTTAAGTGTTTTATGATTTGGGGATCCTCTGTTCTTTAAAACTAAAGACATTAAACGGTAAGAATCTTCAACAAGCAAATAATTGTAGAGCTCAGATTTCTTCAACTTTACATTCATGTCTTTTCCTTAAAGATTCAAACTCTAAATCCTGGGAGGATCTCTGTTAAACATATTTTACAAGAAACTGATAAAATGTCGAAGCAATTCTGCCATCTCTCTCTTTTCCGCTGCTGCTTGCTGTGAAAAGTGCAGGACCTCGTTAAACCTCGGTTCTTACTGAAGCCTTAGGCAAGCCCTGAATCTGAAACCCCAAACACACAGATAACTCCTATCCCTTTCTTCAGAGGGGGTGAGACTGTTCTCAAGTCTTTTCCCAGAACATAATTAAAATCTAGAAGTATCTAAGGCATCTTCAATGCTTCATAAATTTATAGGGTCACTGCCTCATGTTGTTTTCAGTGCACGACATAGCCAGTTAAATGCCTCTATGCATTTACTATCGGAAAGGAAGTACCTCCTGATTTTTATTTCTTCTCTCTACTAGCTGGCAGTGTAGCAACTATGAAGAGAAATAGTACCAATAAAATTAACCCAAAGCACGGACGACTTTTTTTCTTTTTTCCTTTCTTTTTTCCTAAAAACAACCAAGCAAAGGCATAGATTTAAACTTAAGTATACTGTAACTAATTTATAACATTCTCTTGGGACCTAGGAAAGTTTTAACATATACAGAAAGCTTTTATGAGGTAACACAGATTTATAGATCTTACACTTTTAAAACAGAACGTGGTGGGAAAATATTAAATAAGAGAATGTTTTCAGAGAATGTACCAGTAAATGTATTTTTAAAACCAGTTCTTACTCATGACGTAGCTAGTCTACTACTTCAGAAATGTGGCTCCTTATTCTTCTTTAGGTGACAACGAAGTCATTACTTTTATAAGGTCAAAGGAATTATATTTATTTAAGAACAAACGTTTAGTTCCCTCCTTTAAATACTTAGGTCAGATTCTCTTATGGTACACAATGATTTATCTTATGATTTAATCGTATAGGAGCCCAAAAAGAGCCAAGGAAGAACACACCAAAATGAAGCTATTGCTATTTTAATTTCACATCTTTGTTCTTTCATGACAACACTGATGTAAAGTCACAATAACAGTCCTGGATTATATGTTCTTAGTTGTCCTATACAAATCTGTGTCTGGTAGGAATACAAGCCATTCCAATCAGAATATTGTTCATGAAGTTCTACTTGTTTTGAAGTTTCATGACAGCTGCTGAATTTTCCTTGTTTTGGTAGCTTATCTCATAGATTAAATAAAATAATTTTATGATCTAAGAATTTCCATTCTATTATTAAAGTGAAATGAGTGAATCTGAGGACTGGTAAGTTCACTATGTAGGGGAAATACTGTACATTTTACCGTCCCAGTTTTAAAAATAAACCATATCTAAATCCCATGAATCTGCAAATACAACAAGAAATCTTTTTTGGTAACTCTAGTACAATAAAAGCCCTTTTCCTACAAAATAGATGACCTTAAGGTCTAAATTTTCTCTTGATATCAGAGACAAAATATAAAAACAAAAAACTAAAAGTACTCATCCAAGTGTGCTTTTGTTTATCAGTAAGGAATAGAAGGCCTCTGATATAAATATGGAATACTATTGTGCTCATTCCTATCTTGATTATGTTAGTAAGAGAAAAATAATTTTCCATACTCCATCCACTCTTTATTTTCATTATCACTCCACTTTGAAAGCACCACTTATTTGAAAACACCCAGAGGAGACGTGGTTTTAAAAAGTAGCAGTCATCTTTATGACTATAGTTAAAGAGTCCATATTTCATGAATCTTAAGAACCTTTATTTTTTGGGAGGGTTCCTAATCACAAATTAGGTAAGTAGCTATCAACTGATACAATACATACAGGGGGGAAGGAATGACAGCAGCAAAGTTTGGGACTGAAAAATGATGGAAGCAGAGCCTAACAAAAATGATTCACAAATACCTTTTCAAAAATAAGTAATGGGTCCATATAAAGACCTACAAACCAGGAAAAGACTGAAAAACAAGCAGCACAAAGTTAAGGCTCCTCCATAGTTACAGCATGACTAGGATAAAAAAATCACAGGTCTGGAAAAGTTAGGAGTAGAAGAATTGAATCCAATCTGAGTGCTAATTTTGGCTTCTCTGGGACTTTATTTCTTTGTAAAAAGAGTATTTTATTTCACAGTGTTGTTGTGAATGCAAATTCATGTAAGGGATTGTTATGCTACTGGTGATAGAAAATAGGACAGAATATGTTGCCATATGCTGTAGTGGTTAATGAAAAAGAAAAACATCAACTCTGGAGTCTTTTGCCTAGGTTCAAATTCTGGCTCCATCTCTCAGAAGCTGTGTGACTCTCTGGGTAAGGTACTTAATTTCTGGATGCCAGTCCTTCACTGAAAATGAGGACTGTAGTAATCTATCTCAAAGGGCTGTAGTTACAAGTAATTGACTTAATACATGCAAAGGGGCTTAAAACAAGGCCAAGCACCCAGTAAGTATGAACTACTGTTATTACTACATTGCTATTATTAATTGTAGGCATAAACAACATGGAACCCATCTTCTCAAACCAAAAAAACAAGAACTTGGGTGCAAAGTGGGACAGAGAGTTCTTAGTATATCCACTGCCATCCTTCAAAAACAGCAGAGCAGGCACGCAGTCTATCAGAGGGGAAGGTGGGCCATGTGCTCCAGCAGCCTGCTTGTGCAGCTGAGGGAGCGGCACGCCTTACCCGTTCTACTGCTACTCCTCCTGAGGGAGGTAACTTGTGAGAAAGGAAGCAGCTTTGGTTCTTAGAGCTAGTACTGGTGTTTCTATAGCAATTGTACAGTGAGGGACAGGTGTCTCTCTGTCACAGCAAAAATGAAACACTCCAAGCACACATGCCAGCAAGACGTGCCACTGCTGTCAACGCTGACGGAGGAGCCGGGGAACCTGAATTCTTGACCTAGTTCTAATCCTGCCGATTTGCGTGGCCCTGGCTTTCAACACGCACATGGGTGCAAAGAGGTTCTCTAAGGCACTTTCCAACTCTAACAATCATATTCAATTACAGAGACTTTCTTACCTTGGTAATGGTTACAGAAAACTATTGAAATTGTACTACAATACAGTTCAGTAGAATCTCTGTTACAAGAATGAAACTGCTAAAAAAAAAAAAATGAATGAACCTGCTAAATCATAAATAAGCTTAGAGCATTTATATGATTTATGGTTTAGAAAACACAATTACCCACAATGACTGTAAACATTCTCTCATTCTTAAACTTGTCACTAATCCCAAAAGGACACGCTACAAAAAAAAAAATATGATGCCAAAACTTTCTGGTTTGAGATCTAAGAATGTGTCTTTAATCTGATAGATAAAAAAGATATTAGAGGGCCAATTTAATTAAAAACAGGTAATATAAATATAAAATAATAGCTAATAAAGTCACCTCCTATTAACTTTAATACTAGTTAGGGAAGAGTGGTGCCTGGGTGGCTCAAGTCGGTTAAGCGTCTGCCTTCGGCTCAGGTCATGAGCCCAGGGTCCTGGGATCAAGTCCCACATCGGGCTCCTTGCTCAGCGGGGAGCCTGCTTCTCCCTCTGCCTGCCTCTCCCTCTGCCTGCCTCCCCCTCTTTGTACTCACTCTCTTTCTCACTCACTTTCTCTCAAACAAATAAATTCTTAAAAAAATAAATAGAATATTTAATACGGTTAGGGAAGAATGTTTTAATCAAAGCTTTACAAACACTGTGTATCATTTTCAGAGTCTTAAGACAGTGAGTAAACTTTTCAACAGTAAGAAAAGTGTCTTATTAGGGTCTCAAAGCACCCAAGAACACTAACCCTTTGCCTTTGCACACAGTGGGCGCTGAGCTGAGGAACAAAAAGCATTACAATAGGGTGGTAGTTGGAGAGCTATCCCCTGAAACCTGAATTTTAAACAAATGCAAAGGCATCATGGTGTTGAATTTAACAAATCAGTAACATCAATTCTGGCCCAATTTAGTAACACCAATAGATACCCAGTTCTAACCCCCCCTTTTTAAATATATTAACTTTAAAAGTAGGATAAAATGAATTTTTACTTTTTCCCCTTCATCGGTTTATTTTTTTACTTAAGACATGAACTTTAATGTAGTTTTCCAGTAATACATTTTAAAATTCTAAAAATAGTATATTTAACAATTTTCGATAAATCAGAAGGTGCAGGCAATGTAATCCGCATGGCTGAGAATTCTGTTGGAGCACATTGGTTTTATTAGTTTTTATTTTTTTAATGGAGGACCTCAAATATAAACAATTATTCCTAACACCAATATAATACAACTAGCTAATAACAATATCATCTTGACTGCAAGATGATCCATCCTGGGTTTTGCTCATGTTTATTATTCTACTTTATTTATTTGCTTATTTATTTATATTTTCATTGGTTTGTTTTCTAAAAGACTTCATTCGACCTCATTTCAAAATGAAGGCTTTTATCTGGATCCTTAGTGTGCTATTCTTCCTACTAATGGGCATTGGACACTGCAGAGGAGGCCAGCTCAAAATAAAAAAAACAACGCAGAGGAGATACCCTCGTGCCACAGATGGTAAAGAGGAAGTAAAGAAATGTGCATATACATTCCTGGTACCTGAACAAAAAATTACAGGGCCGATTTGTGTCAATACCAAAGGGCAAGATGCAAGTACCATTAAAGACATGATCACCAGGATGGACCTTGAAAACCTGAAGGACGTGCTCTCCAGGCAGAAGCGGGAGATAGACATCCTGCAGTTGGTGGTGGATGTAGATGGAAACATTGTCAATGAGGTAAAGCTACTGAGAAAAGAAAGCCGTAACATGAACTCGCGTGTTACTCAACTCTATATGCAACTACTACATGAGATTATCCGTAAGAGGGATAATTCACTTGAACTTTCCCAGTTGGAAAATAAAATCCTCAATGTCACTACAGAAATGTTGAAGATGGCAACAAGGTACAGGGAACTAGAGGTAAAATATGCTTCCTTGACTGATCTCGTCAATAACCAGTCTGTGATGATCACTTCACTGGAAGAACAGTGCTTGAAGGTATTTTCCCGACAAGACCCCCATGTGTCTCCTCCTCTTGTCCAGGTAGTGCCACAGCACATTCCTAACAGTCATCAGTACACTCCCGGACTGCTGGGAGGAAACGAGATACAGAGGGATCCAGGTTATCCCAGAGACTTAATGCCACCACCTGATCTGGGAACTTCTCCCACCAAAAGTCCCTTCAAGATACCACCAGTAACTTTCATCAATGAAGGTAAGTTACCTCTTACTGTTAAAAATGGAAGTATGAGGTTAATACGTTTTATGGTTTATGAAACAATGCACATAATAAGCCCTTATTCTTCATCCTGGTGATGTAATTATACATGGACATTTTTGTTTTCTATTAATCAAGAACTGAACTTAAATACTTCTCTCAGCTCTGAGTCTAAGAGTTCCCCAAAACTGTATTCTGTGAGGAAAGTATTGCCTTCCAACCAAATTCTTACAATCTAAGTTACTAGCATTAAGACAGGAATGAGTCCACAATCCACTTCTAACCTCTACAACCATCTATCCGCCTCCAGCTAGATCCTCTTGCTGCTCAACAATCCTTTTGTTTACCTCTTGCTGCTCTTCTCATTCTCCTCCTTTCCAAAGGAACAATTAAAAAGTTGCTTTCACTCTCCTTAAGCCTATAATTATACTTCCTCCTTACCTCCACTCTCAGAAACGCACCGTCTACTGCTGTACTGGGAGGTCTACTCAGGTCCGAGGTTCCTTGTTCTTTCTTATCTTGAAAACATCTGCACAACACCCATGCTTTCTTGTCCTCAGTCTTAAGAGGAAAAGATATCCCTTCTATTTTCCAAGGCTAAACAAATTACAATCTGTATCATATACCCAGTTTTCACCAGGATATCAAAAAACCCTAGAACTGATCCTAATATCCGTTGCTCTATTTCTTCTTTCCTTCCTTCCTCCCTTATCGATCACTGATCTAAGTGCCCAGAATACGAAGATGAATAATCCACCACTGTTTGTTTAGTAAGTTCACTGCTAACTTTCTAAATATTTTAATTTTATTTTACCCCTGCATCCATTTTCTTATAAAGCATTCTCCTGAATTCTTTACAGATTGTTTCCTCAGAGTGGAAAGAAAAGCCCAAATGCCCAAAATTGAAAAATAAATCACAGTTCATTCACCTATTGAAAAGGCAGCACATAAAACTGCACATAGACTATGGAATAATTTTAAACAACAAGAAACAAAGACTGGAAATACACATAGCATAAAATATCTCTCTGCAGCAACGGACACCACTGACCATTCACATCTCTGTTTTCTTGGGCCTCCACATCATAACATTCCGACTCTTCCCACTTCTCCAGGTCCTTCATTTGCATCTTCTTCCTCTCCTACAGCTTAAAAAGTTTTCCTCAAGATTCTCTATTTTACAGGTCTCACACACCTTCAAGGCTCCAAGTATCACCACTGCTCAAATGCCTCCTGCCTGGAGCTCTCCCTCCTGATTCTAACCAATGCTGAATGTTGGCATCTGGATGTTCTACCATCACTTCACACGGCGCTGCTTCCTCCCCTGAAATGCCTTCTTCCAGCTTATCTGTCAACCTGGCAGATTTCAAGGCTTAAGTAAAATATTATCCTAAATGTTACACATTCCTAGATTCAAACAAACAGATCTCAATGGCTTTTTCCCCAAACTGCTAACTACGCCTTGAACACGTTTTCTATATCACATTACACTAGGGTTGTTTGCATGTCTGTCTCCTGCTAGACTGAACGCTTCTGGAAGAAAGTGAACTGTGTTTTCATTTTTCTATCTCAAACACATAGCCAGAATCAAGCTTTGGCACATTGTGCTCAGCATATTTTAAGCACTACAATAGATATCTGAGGAATGAGTGAATGAATAACTAAAGCCTAAAATAATCTCTTTCCCAACCTAGCATTTTCCTTTTAGAAATAATTATTATAGAGGTAATACATATTTACCTTTGAAGAAAATCTAGAAAATACTAATAAGCTTTTTAAAAAGCTTCATTGAGGGGCACCTCTGCCTCTGCCTGCCTCTCTGCCTACTTGTGCTCTCTATTTCTGTCAAATAAATAAAAATCTTAAAGAAAAAAAAAGCTTCACTGAATATCCAAATAGAAATAAACAAAAGTTAACATTTCAGTAATAACCTTCAAGTCTTTCTTTTTTTCCTTTCTTGTTAACACGGTAATCACTATTCTTGCAATTTTAAAGGATAAATTTTGTTCTTTTTCTTTCTCTGTGATTATATCCTTAGGATAAACCTCCATTAGTAAGATTGATGGGTCATCTGATTTTGATTTCTCTATTGTGATTTATGCTGCTCCCTATTTCTGAATTTGCCTGGCTCATCTCTGTCACCTCCCTCCTGCCCCACACACGTAGTCAGCTAAGTTCTATCCATGCTGCTTTTCTTTCACGGACTTGTCCCTCATTTCTTTCTTTCTTTTTTTTTTAAAATTTTATTTATTTGAGAGATAGAGAGAGAAGGAGAGACAGCACACACAGGGGGAGGGGCAGAGACAGAGGGAGAAGCAGGCTCCCTGCTGAGCAGGGAACCTGATGGAGGACTCAATCCCAGGACTGTGGGATCATGACCTGAGCCGAAGGCAGACGCTTAACCGACTGAGCCACCCAGGTGCCCCTTGTCCCTCATTTCTATTCAGAGCCAGAACGCTAACTTAGATCCAAGTTATCTATGGCAGCGCTGGAGGATAGAGACTTCTGGATTATTATAGTTCTGTAACCTTGGGGGTGGGCGGGAAACTGCTCGGTGCCTCAGTTTCCTCATCTGTAAAAAAAAAAGAGGATATTAATTGTACTTACCTTACAGAATTTAACAGTGCCTGGCACTCAAAATGTTAACTCTTATTAGGAATGGTATAATAGCTTGTTGACTAGTCTAACTCCATTTTCTCTCTCCATCAAAATATATTCTATATTGCCAACAGATCTATCTTCTTAAACTACTACTTTGATCACATCACACTTCTGCTCAGCGGTTCCCCATTACACACAGAAAATGTGCATTTTGCTTAGCCTGGGTAAGAACAATATCCTCCTCAAATGAAACCTACTTCTTTAACTTTCCTTCTATTAATTTCCTTCACAAAAACCATCTGCTTCAATAAAATGAATCAACTCATTGTCTTTGAAATATTTATCATGCTTTCTGCCTATTATAAGGCTCAGATAAAATAAAATAAAGTAGCAATTCCTCCTTGGAGCCCTTGTTGACTTCCTCAGGCTTAAAGCGATTGCTCCTCTCCATGAATCTCTTTTCTCTGGGACATAAAATATATACAACATTCCTTATATTCCCTCTTGAATTATCAGTTATCTTTACATGTACTTACAGCACTCAAATACATATCTAAGTAAAATGCCTTCCAGCTATAATGTAAGCTCCTTCCTGGTAGATGGATATTTGCAGATGCTAAATAAATGTTGGTTAACTTACTACATTTTTATAGAGCTTCCTAAAGTTTTCATTCCACAGACCTTCATGAAAGTACTTTAATACATTCTACTGTACTGGATTAGTTCAATTTATACTGTTCTAACTCTCAGTAACAACAGGCTAAAATACCATTATGTTAGGTAAATGATGATCACTATTAACAACCTCACACCCTTTGATTTTCAAAGGAAAGATGTATATAAAATGATCCACTGGGTAGAGAAAGAAAAAATATGTATTTTTTAATGATCTTTTAAAAAGTATGTGTTTTGTGTAAGCTTTTAATGTATACAACTTCTCAGCAAAGTAGTTTATTCATATAACATAAATAAACAACTGAAGAGTGTGGAATTTTTTTTTAACTGAAGGAAGAATGTACAATTATGTAGGTATGGAGATGACCATCATGGAGTATTTTCTGTGGGTGTTGAATCTCAAGCAGATGGTATCATCAAGTTCTCGAAGAAATTATTATTCACATACTCATACACTGATACATTAAAAAATACTTATACAAAATGAGCTATATCAGTTCTAGATTTTATTATACATTGAGCTGTAGTGCAGGAATAATCTTATATTTCAGAATTAAATCCCATGCTAGGGATTTAGCATATAAAAGTCCCATTAAACAGACTTTTGTTTTAATAAAACAATGGTTTTATATTCCCATTAACCAATCCTTAATGTAAAAATTAAGGGCAGATATAACTTCTGTTATTCACTATTTGTTTGTTGTCACAAGTAAACATTAACTTTTCACTTATTTTACTCTATAAATATTGGTCTTTGATATTCAAGGACATAATTAGCTACACTATAAGAATGGTCATTAGAACACTAGCGAACATAAAAGGGAAAGTGCACAGAATTAAGAAAACCTGTTTCCTTTGTTATTAACCTTGGGGAAGCGACTTTGCCTGTCTGGATCTGTTCTCTCATGTGTATTATGAGTGCGCTGGTTGGACTGGACAATTCTAACATCACGTCCTAGTTCTAATATTCTATGATTCCTATCAAATGTAAGTTACTATAAGTAATAATTAAACTTGCCCTTTCTTTTCTTTATATATAATGTGTAAAAATCTGTGTTTATATTATTCTTATCAGACTGGAAAATATGTCTGAGCTCTTTGGGTACTTGCACAAAAGGGGCAAAGATGGATGGTCCTGCTGTACTTACAGATGCTCTGTCACCAAGAAGTTTGTATTACTGCACGTGTGGGGACGTGATCTAGAAGTCTAAAGTCCCTAAATGTATAATGTGTATGTATTATTTTATAAGTGTTTTAGCCAGTCAGAAAAAGTCAAATACTGTATGATTCCACTAATATGAGGTACCTAGAGAAGCCAAATTCATAGAGATAGAAAGCAGAATGGCCACTGGTGAATGGAAAATTGTTTAACGGGTCCACGGTTTCAGTTCTGCAAGATGAAAGGAGTTTTGGAGATTGGGTGTACAATAAAGAGAAGGTACTAATGCCACTGAACTGTACATTTAAAAATGATGAAGTTGGTAAACTTTGTTATATATATCTTACCATCATTTTTCTAAAAGGGTGTTTTAATGACAATTTTATATTTTCTTTTAAAATGGTTATAAGAAAAATGCACCTCAAAAGAACTTATTATGAACTTAAAGCAATACTTTTGTTAGATTAAAAATAATTACCTCCAGAAACGTTACCCTCCCTTCTAGCTTAAAAACAAAATGGGAATGTAACTACACACCTGGCAAATTGCCATCAATAAAATT